TATCAATAGCACATCTAATTGCATAAATAAAACAATATTCATCTTTATTTTTGAAATTTATACAACACTTTTTATTTTTTATTTCAATTGGTAATTCAACATATGAACCACCATTTAATGAATTATGTTTACTTAGTTTTAAATTTAAATCTAAACATCTTTTTAATGACCAACCAGATCCTTTTGATGGTTTATTTAAATTTTCTCTTAATATTAATTTTTTAAATTGATCATCAATAAATTCATCAGTGTTTAATATATCTGAACTTCTTAAAGGATAATACATTTGGGTTTTTTGACTATCACCATTTACTAATTGTCTTTCATATTCACAAGATAATGATAACTGACCTCTTTTATTTTTAAATTCTTGTTTTTCAATCAATTTTTTAATTTCATTTCTTTGTGATTCTAAATATTCAGATATATCTAAATCATCATTTGAATTTGTTAAATAATACTCTTGAAAATAACCTTTTAATGATGACACTTCCTGAATATTTATTACATTTTCCTTTGGAATTGGTTTATTTTTTAAATGATCAGTTAATAATCCAATCAATTCTTTTCTAGTTTTATCTTTTATTTTAATACCATTTTTAATTGATAGATTTTGAATAAATTGTAATGATCTATATTTTAGATTATTAGGATTTTGTTTGATATTATTTAATCTTTTAATTAGTTCATCTCTATTTAAATTGTCAACATTTCTAACAGATAATTTGTTAGCAATTTCTTTTAATTTTTCACTGTTAAATAGTGAATAATTTGTTGGATCATATGACTTCTTTAATTCTTTTAATTGATCTAAATTTTTGTTTTGATAATCAACTATTTTATTTTGTTTACACCAAAGTTTTAAGTTATTAACTTCAGTTTCATATTTAGTTTTATTTTCAAAATGTTTCTTTGAATTATAATGTCTATTATAATTTTTAGATAATATATTCTTATTACAATAAGGGCATAATATATTTTTATTTGTACGCTCCATTTATTAGAAGAAAAATGTGCACGATTTATTAAGAATAATTTTATTTGAAAAAATTATTGTTGTAAAATATAAATATTAAGATAAATATTTATGTGTTAATTTAAAAATTATAAAAGTATTTTAAATAAAACTTAAACTTTTTTAAAACCAGTAATTTTTTTAAATAATACTTTCAAAAATTAATATTATTTTTATGAATTTTCTAATTTATTTATGTTTTTATTATGAATTTTAGTTTGTAAATGTTTTTGAAGATAACTAAGCCATTTTAAATCTCTACCACATTCACAATGGGTTGTGACTCTCATCATTTTTCTAACACATTCAATACAAATTGCAAATTTTTTATCTTTACTATAATAATGTTTATGAAAATTTTCCATATCTTTTGTTTCCTTACAATTCAAACATACTTTTTCACTTTTTTCTTCTACTATAATATTATCATATAACTTTTTTCTATAAATTAAATCACATTCTTTACAATATGAAAGTAATCCATCTTTATATTTTTTATTTTTATAAAAATTATTAATATTTTTTAATTGTTTACACTTTGAACATTCCTTCTCCATTTATATAGTATAAAATTTTACAAATTAGTTTTCTTCAATTCGTAATCATAAAAACTACCAAGTATATCTTCATCATTCAAGTCTTTAATACTATATGTAACAGGATTTGTATTATTAATTCTGGTAACAACAAATATTTCTCTTGACCAATTGTTTTTATATTTATTTGAAAAAGTTGATTTTTTGTTTCCTATTCTAACTCTATCATTTATTTTAAATTTAGATTTTGTAATTATTTTTGGTGGGATATATTTAAAAACTGTATTTAATAAATCATTTTCATTTTCTTTATTTACCTCAATTGGTTTCATTTTAATTGTTGAATGATATGAATTATTATATTCTTTAACTATTTCTTTAAGAATATCAATCCATCTAAAATTTTTATTAATTTCAAATAAAACTTTAATTTTTTCATTTTGAGTCCTATTATATCTTTCAATAATACTTGATTTTTCTTCATTTTCTGTATGATACATTTTAATATTATATTTCTTTAAAATTCCATTAAATTCTTTATTTACAAATTCTAATCCTTTGTCTGTATGTAATAAGTTTGGTGGTTTATGGCCAATTTTTATTGAATCTTTAATTATTTGTTCAAATGCTATAGATACATGTTTTCCATCTTTTTTCTTCAATGGTTTTGACCAAACATATTTAGAAAATGTATCAATAACATTCAACATGTATTTATAACCATCATTTTCTTTTTCATAATTTTTCATAATGATTAAATCAGCTGCCCATAAATCATCAATACCTAATGTAACTATTTTTCTTTTTCGAAATTTTTTTCTTATTAGAGCATGAATTTCTTTAGCTTCAATTATTTGATCTTTTTTATTTAATTCCTTTTTTATTATTGGTTTAATTTCCTTTTTAATTATTTTACTTTTATTTGTTTTACAAATTGAACATTTAGTAGCAATTCTAAACAAACCATTCTTCATTTCAACAATTTCTGGATTAATATTTTTAGTTTTCTTCTTACATTTATGACACTGAATAAGTTCTTCCATTTAGATATAAACATTTTATATATAAATGGATATATGTTATAAATGTCGTAATTTTAATAACTTTACAATTACTAAAAATTATATAGGATGTAATATATGTAAAAAAATTATTTTTGAAAAAAAGATTAATAAACGAAAAAATAAAAACAAACATCTTATAAATATTTTAAGAGAATTTAATCATTTTCAACCATATCGCACACAACAATTAATCAATGAAATCTATACGTTATGTATTTTAGACAATAGTTTTGAAATAACACCTAAAAATATAAAATTATTCTTAAAACAAAGAAATTATACAAACTGGATATTTTACTATCAATTCTTAAACAAAATATTCAATATTGATTTTGAATTAAATTTTGAAGATAAAAGAAATATTACAGTAATTTTTAATGCATATTTCAGTTTTACAAAAAGAAATATATCATTTAAAAAACTATTACCAATGATTTTTAAACTTTTAGAATTGAATTTTTATATAAAACCAGAATTTGATGATATTTTTTTAAAATTCTTAAAACATCTATCAACTTTAAATGATCCATGCATAATAAATTAACATAATGGTTTTTCTGATAACATAAGTGATACATCAGATATTATTTAAAAAAATAGAATTTTAAATATCACACAACAGTTCTAACAAACTGTTGTGTGATATTTAAAATTCTTTTCATATATTTCAATTATTAACTGTTTAAAATTTCTATAATTATTTTTTGTAATAAATGGATCTATTAGAAGAGATTAATAATATTGGAGAATGTAAATTCAAAGAATATAAACCAATAAAAAGTTTAGAATTGAATACAAAATATAAAATAGAAAAATTTGAAAAAAGTTAAAGATAAATATGGACCAACAATTATTGTTGAATTAGAAAAATGTAAAGTTCATTTACCTCATAGATTTATTAATATATTTGATGAAAAAACAATTAAAGAATTAAATAAAAAAGATTTAAACTTAATTATTACTGAAATTAAAACATTCAAAGATAAAGAAACTGTTTTAGTTAAATTTGTATAAAAACTACTCATTAAATTTTAAAATTTTACTTGTTTTTAAAAACATTTTGTTTTGTAGTCAATTTTATGTAAAATATAGACATATTCATGAAAATTTCATCAAAATTATATACTTTTTCTAGAAAAATATGAAAATGTTAGAAATTGACCTAAAAGGGTAAAAAATAGAACATATTGTATAAAAAAATAGGAAAATTCATTTAATTTTTGAGTGGCTCCGTTTTTGGCCCAGAAGTGACATGAATATATCTACTTATATATATATATTATATATATATATATATATGTATGTATATATTTTTTATTAGAGGTGGAAGTTTATTGTCTACCTAGTATGAAATTAGTAGCGCTGACACACGTACGAAAGTATATTATTCAAATTTAAATGTCAAGCTTACTGAAAAGTGTTTTAACTGAAAACCTACTTATATTTAAAATCAGTAGGTGAAAATAATCAACAGGTTACTGTCGTTAAGCAAAAAAGACCTGAGGTCTGTGATCGCAGCTCTCGCCAGGAAGGCCGTCTACCACGGGTTAGAATAGAACGAAGATTGGGGAAAAGGCTTTTCCCTTCTTTGTACCCTGGTTTATAATTATTTGCCAACAGAGGCAAAACAACAAAGTTAAACCCCCCCCCCCCTTCAAAATAGTTTAGACATTTCAAGGTTATTGTTTATTTTTAGGTAATCTCACTGCCTGAAAACGTAGGTCGAAAACCCGTAGAATTTATCAATATTTTTACTAGTAGACCTGAAAACATAGGTAGGCAAGTATATCATACATTGCCAAATGGACGGGTTCCTTGACATCAAGAAGCACCAAGCAAGCGCAAGCAACTATTTAGGTTGGCCATGTTTATTCCATGTTGTGCCATCTGCGTCTGCACAAATATGGATAATTGTTGCAAAAAGTATTTATGTACGTAATAAAACTATTTAAAGTCTAACAGAACCGGAATGTTGAAGAGGTATGATCACAGTCACAGTTTGGATACGGCTGATAAGAGAAGCGTTCTCATGAATATAAATAATGTAAACACTTTCCCTTTCAGAAATTGTCAAAACGAAACAATACTTCTTTGAGAATAGAAAGGATTCCGAGGCCAGTGTTAGATTTTTAAAGAACTTGTGACATTGTCTACGTGTGTTTCATGGTTCTGTGCATGTGATAAAGGGGAACCGTCATCCTGTATTTGGATTTCTAAAAAAGGTAATTATGGGATTACGATTATAAACATTAAAGTATACAAGTTCATTGTAAGTACTACTGCCATGCAAATGCAAAGTTTATGAAAACAAAACAATTCACAATCTCAGAGCCAGATATGATAAGTTTCGACGAATCTTTGACAGGTTTAAGAGATTGATCATGTCTCCTATCGGTGGTTCAATGATATGTCAATAGATTTGTGGTGTCAGTCAGATTGTTTGATGTAAGAGTGGTCAACTGTCTTTTCTGAGAATACTTGGTTCTGGTATAGCTGTTTTCGATTATTTAAAAGTAAGATTTGTCATTATAGTATTTCATATATTTTTTTATAATTAAAAATAATAAAAACTCATTTATTACTTGATACTTGATTAAATATTTCTATAAATATAATTGATATTAAATTGTTTGATACATCAATTAGACAATTTATTACAACAATTTTGTTTAGCATAATAATATTTTTTAAATTAAAAATAAATAACTCTGATAAATATTTTAGTTATATGGATAGAAGTCGAAACGATCAGCAAGAAAACTTATACATAATTTCTTCCTTTTAGTCTAACATCCAGATCAAATGTCTTATCTCGTTAATGTTTAAAGACTAGTATATTTGAAATCCGAGAAAGACAATTAAGCATATAAGACAATAAGTATATACAAAACATTTATGTATCGCCCCCCCCCCCTTGGACGCTAAGCCCGAGTTTTGAATTGTTTTTCACATTACTTCAGGCTAGACCTAGGGGTTGCAGCATTATCACTTAGATAAAATCCATTGGTGATTTGGCCGGATTTGAAAACCACGCTCGAAACCACTAGACCAGCTCGCTACCCAATATACTGAAGTTACAACAAATTTTAAATTGCATATTATTATTATTATTATTATTATTATTATTATTATTATTATTATTATTATTGTATACTATGTTATAGTAGTTTACGCAACGATTGCGTTAACACTATTTACGTGAGTTGCGTACACTACTTTACCTACGACAGTGATTTATTTACTAAAAATCACTACTCATAACTTCTAAGAGAGGTTATGTTTTCGTTTATATCCTCTCATTGCCACTAACAGTGATGTAACGAAATTTTGTACCAAATAATAATTGCACCACTCAACAATTAAATTGGCCTGAACAGCTGATTACTTGAAGTTCGATTATTAAAATTTTACTTCTTCTCTCTCAATCCTTGATCCTCATTGGACCGTTACCCGTGTTGTTATGAGTAAAACTATGCTGTTATAAAAGTAAACAATGCTGTTATGAGAAACTTTTCAATTCTAAGAAATTGACTAAAACGGCTACTTTAAAAAACGGTCGTAGGTAAATATTTTTTAATTGTGTGGACCATTAACATTTTTTACATTTTTCATCAGGACATTGTTAAAATATAAAGCATCATTATTTGATAGACCAATGAACCGGTAATGATCTCTTTTGGAATCAAACTAGCGACCTTCAGATTTAAAGACGATCACTTCAACCTCTCGGATACTTATAAAATTTGTTAGTTTAAGATTACGATAATCTTTAATATCGGAACAGTGTATGTGTTGAAAATCATAGTACTTATCGATTAGTCTTTCTCAGTCAGAATCCGTACTTTCAATGCAAATAAGATTCCAGTTTCTTATGTGTTTCATGAGAATTTTATGAGATGAAATGAAAAAACTATTTTAGACTATGTTTCATCTGTGTAACGAATAGTAAAAGGGATTAATCTAACACTAACTTAACGGTCTCTTTGTTCATTAAAATACCTACATGAGCCAATTTTTAACACAATCCACAAGTTAGCAAGTACTTGTAGGTAACGTGTTTTTATCGTCTTGTTTCAATCTGTGAACCCCTTATCAGTACCTCTTGCACTTACTGCTTTTATCTGTAACAGAAAGCAAATAAAAATTTTGAATTGACTATCCAAGGAACTGATTAGTACACTGCGTTATTTTTAAGATTTTTCAACGCTTCGCCTGACGATGAATTTGCCGGTCATCCTCGTACTCCTTTGCTTCGGATTTCTAAACGGGACAACAGCTGAAGACAAAAAGGTAAATCTATTTAAAGTTAAGATGAATTTTTATAGAATTATGTTTAACCTATATATACTTAAGTCTTATATGAGCAATGTTTGCTTGTATGCATGCTTTCACAAAGATCTCGAAAACGGATTCGAAGATTTCCTTCAAATGTTGTAAATAATTTATATCTGGCCTAAAAATGTGTTTACTGCAGTTATAACTGCCAAAAAAATCTAACTACGTAAAAAATAAATTGAAAGTCAACATTTTTTAACATTGGCCTTATCGTTGCCAATTAACCATGTTGGTTGAACAAAATAACAAGGAGAGAGTAAACAAACGACTTGTAACAAGCCAATTACACAGTATACTAGCAAATTACAAAATACAGTACAAAAGGGGATCATCAGTTATTACTATTGAGCAAAGAATACACTGAAGATTATTCAATATGAAGTGCAATGGAAATAAACTATACCGAGCCATAGCTCGGCCCCCAGGTACTAATTAATTGCTTGTAAGTGTAGTTACCCGTACACCTTACCAGGTTTCAACTTATAAGAAATGTGTTGTTCAGACAGATTTTAACTAAAAGAAAAGTCGCATCTTTCTACACCCAGTACAATAATAGTCTATCAATTAGAAAGTACTTTTCTGCTACAATGAACACAAACAATGTTGTTTTGGTAACATGTTAAAGCTTTCGAAAAGTAATATATGCAAGTAATATGCAAGTAACAATAATATTTGTTTTTTGCCAGTTTGTATTATATTAAAAAAATAATGTAATATGTTGCAATCTGATAAAATTGCAATATTTTTCGTTGTGTTGTAATGGAACTAACTTGGCAATTGCCAAACCCTCTTTTTCACTAACTAGACATCTTTCTCGTGAGTTTTCTGAGTGGTGAGCCATCTGCAGTGTAAGGGCGAACAACATTGTGATGTAATAATTTTGTTCAGGATTCAGTTAAACTGACAGTGTTCTATGAGAGCTACTGTCCTTATTCTATCGAATTCATCGTAAATCAACTGTACAAAACATGGAATGAGTTCAAGGATAACATCAGACTAGACTTGGTGCCTTTTGGAAACGCAAAGGTAAATAACAGCTTAAGAATAGTACAAATTAATTATTAATACTGATTAAAATGTTTAAATTAATAAGTATAACATATTATATGTTGATTGACTTAAAAAACTGGGCCTGTTAAGAATCGCAGTACCTATTGTTCTCTTAAAATCATGGAAACAGTTGAGACAGATATAAATATACTTTATGCAACACTTACTATATATTAATAGTGGCGCTGTCAGAAAAGTGTTCAAACCCAACAAGTTTCCCCTGGCGAACACCTTATGATAATTTCGTACAAACTGGTGTTTCAATTTGATTTTTTACATAAAAATATACAAATTGTTGAAATTCTTTTTACGTACCGGTACTACTGGGAAATTAAAGTACCCAGGTATATATAATCGTGGATAAATACCCAGGATATTTACCCAGATAAATACTAATTTTTCATAAGTACCTGGGTATTTATGATTATTCAGCTACAAGCTGAATACATTGGTATGCAGATTAGAATGGTCTAATTTAGTACTTTATCAGACTGAGTTTACTGTGTATATTTTATTTTAGTTGGTCAAATTATTAGAAATCGAACGCATATAATGCAAATTTGCACATTCTACACTCTAGCTAAAAAATTTCCATAATTTTTATTCACTTTCATATGACAATAGCAATGAACTATGCAAAACACTGCTAGTGTTAATACATTTTACAAATATGAACATTTTTGTATGAACTGTTGTTGTATAGGCTTTGTTGTTGTTTCTTTGATGTTGACTTTTGGGTATTTACGCGGTCCACATCACTGAAATACTATTGTGGGGAACACAGCACCATAAAAATAACTGCAGATTGTTTTATGGTAATCTTGCTTGAACTCACACCTTATCGTGTTCTGAAATTCTTACTTTACTCAATACCACGTTGACCTTCCATTGAATGACGTAGATGCGATGGCCAATGTATGACCTGAGATAACGCAACTGTGATGAAACGTAAGTATAAAAAGCTGCATTATCAAGCAATGATTGGAAGAAGGAAAACATAATGAAAATGTCTGCTGAGATAGAAATCAGTTTAAAATATTGTGTATCGAATAATGAAAGGATTTTGATCAAATTTAAACCCGCCAAGAAATAATGCGCATTGCACAACACCAAAACGGAATGACACCCACAAAAAAGTCTAGAAATGTTTCATCTTTTCAGTTAGTTCACCCTGAGATTTCCTTTTTCAGCAAACATACGAGAACGACCACTTCGTGTTCACATGTCAACACGGGCCCAAGGAGTGTGTTGGTAACATTCTGCACGCGTGCGCCATCTACCAGGCGTGCGGCAGTCGCGGTACGCTCAAGTGTCCTGTCGATCAACTGTCCAAAGCGATCAACTACATCGACTGTGTTATGCAACAGAATGATCAGCGAACTGCCAGCAACAAGGTATGTTCACGCTTTCTCTGCATATTTTTATTGTGTTTTATTGTACAATTAATTTTGTTGTAGTAGACTTCTTGTCCTAGAAGATATTTTCTGAAACTCACACACAGTCAGTGAGATCAAATCATAGTCATTGAATGTGTGACCAAATATTTGGCTAATAATTCCTTAAATTATTGGAACAAAATTTCAATAATGTTGTTTAATAAATTACAGTACCGGTAATTTCACGCTCGTTTCCTTTATTTTACCAATCAATGCCCCTTAGAAAATATTTCTTCTTATATAAATGTATTCCTCCACTAGCCGCTCTGTGTGTATTTAGCTGACAAACTTATATATTACAATAGGTTATATTTGAAAGTAAAATATTTCTCTTTCGTTACGTTAACTTAATTATTCATTTAAAACATTGATTTAGATACAAGCGCTGGCTTTAACAATGCAGTGTTAATCTACAATATTTGCAACAAGTTATTGTAACATATAAAGTAGATTTATAAAATGATTGATAATTCTCACCATTCACTCCACTGTTTTGGTAAAGATATTTGCACAAGTTTTACATCGATGTCTTAAGTTTCCTCTTTCAACAGTGGTTACTATTTTCAGACTTTCTACAGGAAAACACGTACATTAATAGGTTTTACTCCATTATATAAAATCATAACCGTGTTTCAGTGTGCAAGGAAAGCCAATCTGCAGCCAAGTTCCATAAACAAATGTGCTAAAGACTCTGTTGGTAACAACTTAGAAAGTGCGTACGGCAATCAGACCGTCGCTTTCCACAATCCCAAAGTCACTTATGTGCCTTTCATCGTCTTCAACAACGTGAGTAAATTATTTGAAAAATTGTAGGTAATTTATGTAGTACAGTATAACGTAAAGAGTAACTATTTTCCACTAAACTGATAAATGTTTATGGTGTGAATAAAACTGTGAATATTAACTTAACTGTGGTTTTCCCATGGTTTAAACAGTGGCGGCCCTCTTCTGAAAAAGACACTTTTCTACCACATTATAGGCTACAGTGATATAAATGTTGATTTTATAATTTAAAGAAAAAATCCTAAATAAAAATTCCTATAGAACAAAATATTGAAATAGCTGTCAAACGAGTGTACAAGTCTGCTAACCAACTTGTTTTCTTCCAGAAACACACCGAGGAGGAACAGGAAGCTGCAGAAAAGGACCTTAAATCTGTTGTTTGTAAATACATTCCAGATAAATGCTAGTAGGAAATAAATGTGTGTTTCAAAATATGCACCAGAAGAAACCCATAGTAAAAATATATAGTTGAACTATTACACTTATTTTAGGCATTGTGTTGTATTCAGATAGCTCGATCTATCCAGTTTTGTTCAGAGACAATCAATGAATTGAATCTGTAATTTGCATACAAAAACAAGAAGTTTTAAAATACAGTAAAATCATTAACATTTGTTAGACTCTCCCTAAATGTTGTAGCATAATTACAGAATACAGAACTGAGAATTTTAAATGACAATTTTTTAAAATAAATTGTGAAATAAAGCTTTGAAACGAAACTGTAATACATTAACACCTGTGTCAAAAACATGAAATTTGTAATACTTCTTCAGCGATAAGAAAAACAAAGAAGTTCATCCCCCCAGACGCTAACAAGAGGATCATCACTCAGCCATTGCGGTTATCTTCACCTGACACCAATGTGTCTGTACTTAACTAACTCCACACCTCTACAAAGGAGAAATTTCTTTTGTCTTTCTTTAAAAGAAAATTTAGTTAGGTTTGAAAAGTGTATCATCTGTTACTGTACAAAATATTATATACTAGCAGAGTACCCGTCCTTCGTACGGGGTTGGAATATAAGTATAAAATGCTTATTGCAGTTATACTCAAGCTTTACGTTTGCAATAAGGGAGGACACAGTTTGATAAAATTTGCTTTTTTAAATTTACAGTATTCTATAGTATTACACATCTACCATAGCCATAATGTTCTACCACTTCACCTAAACAATAGAGAAAAATAAGTTATCAACAATTCGCAAAATATCACAAACTATTCATGAAATGAAAAACATAAACATAACTGTAAACAATCCTACTTTGACAGTCCTCATTGCGAATCACAGTTTTTTGTTGCTGCTTAGTTCAAATTAGCTGTTTTCATAAATGCAAAAAAATATAGTGCTGCACCCTGTTGGTAAATCTTATAACTTTTTAATGCTTTTCCATATCATAGAACCAACTTTTTTAGTTGAAACAGATGAATAAATTCTTTAATTCCCTTTAAATGAATACTCATAAGGTTAACATGGGGAATTACAGAGCCACTGGGGCGGAGCCCGAAAGGATTTTTGAGATAAGAATATGCCTATATGTTAATCGGGAATGTAAGCTATCATCATGCCAAATTTCAGCCCAATTCGTCCAGTGGTTTATGCGTGATTGAACTTCAAACACACAAACAAACAAACACACAAACTTTCACATTTATAATATTAGTAAGATAATAAATACATCTTATAAATCTACGTTTTGACAAGTAGTGTTTGATTTTCGTTTTGGACTCGGAGTTATATGTTCCCCATTTTAATTTTTAAGATCTAACAATAATTTTAAATAGCAGGTGCTATGTAAATAAACAAAATCAATTTATACCAGTACTTATGGATATAAGTATTCTGTAAATACTTTTGGAGACGGTCAGAATTAACATTTTTTAGATTACTTATAACATTTTGACTCTTAAAATGCTTACCTTATGATGTTCCATTCGCTTACAGTTTATCTGCTTGCAACATACTCTGTGCATTCACATTTTAAGATTAATATTCAAGTTAGTTTTGTCCTGAGTTCTGGGCAGTGGTGTGACATTAGTTATACTGATGTAAAGGTTTAATCGGTGTGTGTATTCATTATGCATTGAAATGTGGCATTTGAAAATTGGTATGAATCCATTGACTATCACGGTACAAAGTGACTACGTCACCATGATAATGGAGGGACTATACTTCTTCAAAAGTTCGGCATCCTTAATCGTCCGGACATCTAGCACCATCGCAGTTTCTTCATTGGAGAACAATGGGACCTAGGCCATTCAGTGTTGCTCCTCTTTTGAGGAGAGAAGCAGATATGTGTTAATAAATACTAGCATAAATTTAATACTTATTAAATTTCAAATGTTATATTAGTTTCATCACTGGCTATTGTCCGTGGCTCCATATTTTCATATTCCATTCCTATTTCTAAGTAGAGTGAAATCTTCTTCATATAGAACTAGCAGAGTACCCGTCCTTCGTCCGGGGTTGATGTATGTTTAAATGTTGTTGTTTTTTTTATCTGTAATGAAAAACAGTGTAAAATAAGATTCAATTCCAATAAATGTACCTATAAAAACTGTTACTTACTAATTATATAAAAAAACATTTTCAAACAATAAAACAAATAAAAACTCAAAGCGTTTTCTTAATTTTAAATGATAAAATCAAACATAGACAAACAATAATTTACAACTTCTGGTTAATATTACGGTTTGAATGAAAAGAAACATGTGATCTTTCTTCTAAAAAGCATTGCTCACTTAGCATTGATTGTAAAAATATCTCATTATATACTATGTGAACAAACAAAAACATTAACACTCTTACTACTAAAATAAACAGAAATGTACTTAGCCCTACTATTTATAGCTCCTACTATTCATACACCAATGGCAAGTGCATACACAACTTAGTTTTTTATGGTTGTTTTTAAATTGAAATATTTGTATATCAGCTTAGAATTAGAATATTTAACGTCATTCAAACAATGTTTATGTCGAGGGTAGGTTAAGTTAAGAGGAACTTGGTTGAAAATACAAGTAATTTGTAATGACCATCAAACGCTCGTAAAAGTTATTCATTATTAGAATAGAATGTGAAATCTACAGGAAGTGTCAAAATTTATAATATAGATAGGTAGTTGCTACCTCTGGATTAGAAAACATTATAACAACTAATCTATGTGTAGTAATATGAAATTATGATTGTTAAGTATTTATTAGTTTTCTTTATTTCATTCATATTAAAATTATTCCAAATAAGTCAATCAAAATTCATTAACCAATGTTTAGGTTTACAATTTATTATTATTAGTTTAAATTACAATTCATTTCAATATTACTAATTATCATATGTTATTATATTATATCACATTGAATCTAAAAAGAATATTTCATTATTAAAATTGGCAACACTGTAAATGCAAGCAGTTTAACTACTCAAAATTAAATGTACAACAATTAAATCTTAAAAAAACATGTGACTGTGATTAAGATAAACAAATGAAGACAGAATGAGATAAGCGTCTAGACTGCCAGTGCAACTCCGAGGAACGAGGATCAGATCGGAAAACCCCCCACCACCGCTCCGTGTCGATGGCGTGACGTCAACCATTACCGCAACGATACAGAACCGAGTCATGAGCCTTGGTGGAGTAGTGGATAGCGTGTCGGGCTAATAATCGGATGGTGCCGGGTTCGAATCCCACTGATAGCACTAGCTTTTTGTCAACAATTTTTTTTTCAAATCAGCAAGTTTGGTTGGTTTGGTTAGGTTATGACAGTTTAGTTTTATAATTTAAAAATTATAAAATTGAATTTGAGACATTTATTTTATAATTTTATTTTTACAACAGAACTATTTTTTCGATAAGTCAACCTTCATCCGAGTTTTTCATTATCAGCAAGTTTGGTTAGGTTATGACAGTTTAATTATATTTAATTTAAATTTAACCTACAAATGATACGTGTTGACAGCAACAGTGATAGAGATAACAATTTTAGCGCCTCTGATCCTCGTTCCTCGGAGTTGCACTGGCAGTCTAGACGCTAGTCAGAATGAGGATGACCTGAATGAAGATGCATGAAAAAAGTGTTGGTATCAAAAACTAAATTCAAGAAAATTATTATTAAAGTCAGTTTTATTCAACTTCAAGAAGATAAGTTATTTATTTAAGAAGATTTATTTTACCAAGAACAGTAAGTGAATCTTTCAATGTAATTAAACCAAAATTCTCCTATACAAAATACAGTCCACTTACTCAAAAATGTAAACTATTTTTCCAATCTATTTGATCCATTATCATTATATAAACTATTATCAAAATTTCATGACAATGATTAAAAAGTTTGTGAAAAGGCAAATGGTGTGAACAATATTTCTCTCAAAATGGCAAAAATATACAATTAATTATTTCCTTGAGAAAAAAGTTTCAATTTTTAAGGTGTTTGCCTTAAACACCTTAAGAACATAAAACTACTTAATTAACTTAACTACTTAACTTTAAATTAACTACTTAATTGGTTATTAATTACGCTATATTAATTTTTGTATAATATATGTGTCTCAAACACATGTCAATTGTTCAAAAATGTTAAATTAATTCAAGTAAATGTGAATTTTATAATTTCACTATTTTTTTACACCAAAATCGTTCAATACAATTATTCACATTAGGGAAATTTTAAATAATTAATTAGGCTTAGATACAGCAACAGATATACAATCTCACTTATTTCATAAAATCAATAATCAATGAACCATCAAATATAAGAATAAATAAACATGTCACATGATTGTAGAGAATATGATATGCCTATTTATAAACCATCTGTGGAATTGTGAATTAGTGTGGTTTGACAGTTCAGCTTGTTTACATTTGGGTGGCAAAGCAAATTGCATTGTATGTGTTCTCATGGCAGCCATGGAGACCAATCAATATTTACTTTTAAAATCCTCACCTCAGAAATTTTAAAGCCAAAGATGCAAAGCCCATGGTCAGTATCGAAGTGTGAATAGTCCTATAAAGTTCCTTGGTATGGTAGCTATATTTTTGTATTTTTTAAGCCCAGTCAGTTCAGTAGTTTATGCGCCTATTAGTAACAAACATACAGACAGACACCACTAGATTTTTATATAATATTATAGATTATAGATAGATTATAGATTAAAGATAATTATTTCTATAACTGGGTATACAGCGAATTCACAATATACTCTACTTAAAGGAAAGGATAATCAAAACTTGAAATATTACTGGAGTTCCCATAAATAACCCCAACAGCACAATGGGCTTGCTGGGAACTTGTTCCAAGTCCATTGGCCCAAGTCCCCAAGCCTGGTTTAGACTCAGGGACCAAAGTCTGTAGGCTTGGTTTTGACTTGTTTTAGAGACCGAAGTTGGCAGTTGTTCAACTTGTTATGGGTTTGGCTCCCCAAGTCCAACCCAAGTCCCAACCCCAAACCTACAGTGAACTCATGGGCACAAACCCACTCTAAGCTTGGAATGGTGGATACAAAACGGGTCTGGTGGATTAAGCAGGCTCATTATGGACTTGTTCGGGACTTGGAGACCCAAGCCCAATTTTAGTAGGCTCATATTGGACTTGGCTTAGACTCATATTGGAATTGGTTTTAGCACATTTTAGACTTGGGCAAACAAGCTCACACTGATAAATTAAACAGGCTCATTATGGACTTGGAGACCCAAGCCAGCTTTTAGTAGGCTCATATTGGACTTGGCCTAGACTCATATTGGAATTGGTTTTAGCACATTTTAGACTTGGGCAAACAAGCTCACACCTATAGACTCACTCAGAACTTGGTACGAAGTTTTATATACTTCAATTACTGTCATGATCAGAGATAATAATAATAATTATTATTAGAATAGGCTATAGTAATAGTAATAGTAATATAATGTATACCTATTTAACATATAAGCTGTTTCACACCATTCATTTGCTAGCCCACATTTTTTCTTATAATTAATTTTTTACCAAGAAAGATTTATGATAAAATAAAGCCTATTTTATGAGTGATCTTGAAAAAATATTGGTTATATATGAGGTTTAGAAAGCAAGACATTCACATTTCAAGACAATTTATTAATATAATAAATACAACGCCCACTATCTTCCACTTCACCTTCAACTTCTTTTCTGAACCCATCAACTCCACCGCTTGCTTCAGAAGATCTATAAAAAATACAATTGCATTAGAATTATTTGGTTTATTAAAATTTATCATTTAAATCATTTCTCATTATTTTTATTTGTTATTATAATTATTTGATTATTTGGAGTTTGTTGGTGTTGCAAACACAGGGTGTTAACTTACCTTTGTTTTCAAAATTGTTATCAAACTTTTATTTCTTACTATTTTACTTTTATACGTAAACTAATGATTTGGCCTGTTTTTATCTGTAGACTAGGATTGACTATAATGGTTAAGGTCAAACACAAATTTTGGCACTGTTCTGTTGGGTTCAGCAGTAGACTATTAGAGTATAGTATAGTGAGTGACGTTGTCGATTCAGTGAAGCGCTGAGTATGTCAAAGGTTAAAGCACAAAAGGTTTAGGTTATAAACAAAATTCTACGGGTTCTTGATGCAATGAAATTAATTGTTTGCTTAACTTAGCTTACTTATATCATCATAGACTAACCAACACAAGTATATTTTTTATCAATGGAGTTTAAATCTTACCTTTACAGGAATCCCTTAATTCTTCTTTGCTTCGTCTTGGTATCAAAACCATAAACAAAACTCACAACTAGTAACGAAACGAGTAACTCACAACACCAGAACTAGATAAGTGAGAACTGACAACTGAGAGTGAGGAAGTCTAAATCCAACAAAAATGGTGGTTCAGCACAAAGAAACAGGTTTTAGGAGCGTTCTGGGTAGGGGTGGAGGGAAAATTCTTTTGTCATATGGCACTGCTCACTTTAGACTCACATGAACAAGCTTGTCGTGGGTCTGGTTAGGTGTTTAAATTGTGGACTTGGCCAACCAGGTTATATATGTAAATAAAACAAGTTTAGTTTTGGCGCATTCACACAAGTTCACTTAACCAAAGCTGTTTTAAATTTGTAGTGGGTTCCAAACTCCAAGTTTGTCATACCAATTCAGAAATATGTAAAAACCAAGTTTGGTCCAAGCTCACGTGCTGTCTGGGAATGTACTGTAAATATAAAGCCCGAAATATTCAGAGATTACTCGCCTTAGTGGCCAGAAAGATGGAGGGTGAAATTTATTACAGGCCCGTATCAACGATCCGCTAATATCGGCTTACGTTGGATTCTGTTATGAATTAGCCAGATTTATAATCCCTCCCTCATCAATAAGTTAGGGGTTGTTAAATGTGTGGTCGCTAAACAATGCTGACTGTACTTTAAAGTGTATCTTGTCTCCTTCTAATTGGGCTTTTAGTATTTCTCAGCATTCGAATAATATAATTTATAACTGTACGTGCATTCTGCAAAGTTTAACACAATACTATTAGTTTATCATCCTATGTCATTTATTGAACTCTTTCAATTATTGAAAGTGAACTGTATTACTTAACTTGATAATAGTACGTTTTTGATAACTCAAACTGTGAACACTTATTCAGGCTAGCTAGGATACAAAATCAATTACGTATAATCAAACAATATGTTGAATGGTTTGTACTGTAAACGAAAAGCTATCACAATAGTTCCAAAACTGTTAATAGCGTAATTTTCTAACATATTTTAGTGAAATTATAATCAGGCAAATGATGGAAATTTGCTTAGTCTGCAGGTTTGCTGCGGCAGGGGTATCTTATTACTGTTTACACAAAAATATATCTAATAAATAATTCTCATAAAAGTCAGGATAACAACCTAGGTTGATACACGGAAAGGTTGAAATTATGTCCTTTATCCACGAAAAATTTCTTTTACAATGACTTATCCCCTGCAAAATATTATTACAGTGTTTCACAAATATCAGAACAGACTCAGTATAGATCATAAACATAAACAAATGACGTAACTGAAAGAATCCTATACTAATGACATTAATATTATAGTTTGGCAGTTCCTATTAAGTAATGTTAAAAAATAATCAGAGTCCTAGGTCAATATCGATGGGGGACAGTTCCTCGGAGCGGTAGCTTTATTTTTGTCCAATTTGAGGCCAGTAGGTTCTGTAGTTTTTTAGTTTAGCTCATACAAACACACCGACAAACACCAACTCTTATTTATGTATAGGTAGAATACATGTCCAGCACGATAACTCGAGCAAAAATGATCTGATTTTGATTAAAATTTTGTACAAACGTGTAAATCTACGTTTATTCGAACGAGTTCGCGAATCAGTGTGATCGGACTATGGGAACGAGGTTTTGTGAGGGAATTTATGGGGTAAAAGTTAGTTTTTCTCATTTTTAATGCTCAAAACAAAAAAGTTCCCAATTTCTCTTTAGTCCATTTTAAAGAGCTATTTTTAGATTTTATATTGGTAAATCAAACAAAAAATGATACCTAACCTCAAATTTTAAACGTCAAAACCAATGTTACAAAAAATGAATAAAATGGAAACGCAACATGAAGAAATTCTACCCAATAGTCAATGCTCCTACTCTACACGGAAGAGGCCGGGATTGATCCACCTGTTTGCTTCCCTCCAATCACCAATCTATATGCTTTGAATTTGAAACACCCTTAATTGGGAAACGCACAGACAAAGTGAGAAAGTTAATAACAGATAACGGAAGTAAGTTGTTATAACATAGCATCAGGGTGTTGCTATGCGACGGAGATAACTATGGCTGTCACTCATGCATAATGGGGAAATCACTTCGCTATTTCGCGCCTTGGAAATTTTAAAAATCTGTCAAATAGCAAACTAACTTATCAGCTTAACTGTCTATCTAGAAAAGGAATTCAAGAAAAATGACCATTATAGTACTTTGGGTAATGGCAATCGCAAAACTATTCTGTTGACTTTTTGCTGTTATATTTTAATTTTTGTATAGTCTTTTGTAAATACCTATATTGGAAGGTATAGGGGCCTACCTAGGGGGTGATTTGAGACCTATCGTCAATTTACTGTATAAATTAATAAACGTTTTCTATGAATGTTTAGTTTGGTTTAATGTGCAGCCACAAATTAATAAACCCAGAAAGTTAAGTTAGGCCTGACCCCCAGCCGAGAAGAATACCTCAAATCCATAACCATATTTCCTATCAAATTCTCTTCCTTATCCCTGTTTAAATGAGATTTGATTTGAGGATACTGTATTCGTATTGGGATTCCATCTCTTTATGATGTAGCAGACCACAGGACGCAATCATCCAACCAGGAATGTTCTTCTTTTACAGTGGCCAGTTTTTTGTTGTTGAAATAAGTTATCAGTCAGGCTGTAGACGTTTGTATCCCTCAGCGGCTGTTAATAGGCATCATTTTGAGCCCATGCCCTTCTACACGTCGGCCACCGAGGTCGCGACATGACTAGTTGCGCCACCAGTTGATCACGGCTAATAGCTGCCTAAATGCCATAATGGCCATAACTTAATGAGACTGCCATAGTGTTAATCCTCCTAGGTCTAACGGAGTACTTTTATCTATGATATGAACTGAGCGTCTGAAGTCACTAAGTCAGTCCAGCTCCACTCCACTAACTACTTGTATGGTACAAGTTGTAACACGGCCGCCTTTAACTCCAGGCCGCGGCCTTCGAAGCGGCAACGTCGCAATCGCAAGTGGTGTTTTAACAGCTGTTTTGTTTGAAAGCAGCTAATGGTATTTGTGTATTTACGAAAGATTGGTTCCTGGACTATATTGACTCCGCTTAAAAATGTACAGATATAGATTTTTAATTCATATTGTTTCTGTTTTCAATTCTGTATGTTTTATTTTAAATATTTTAATAAATTTATCTTCATAAATTTAAATTTAAATCAATAAAGTGCGAATTAATGAGCTGATGCCACCTGTTTGCCATGTTGTCTTGTGGGACGTCTAGCGCTAGACAACACCACTTGCAACGTTGCCAATTCTACCAGGCCGCGGCCTGTAGTTAAAGGTGACCGTACTTGTACCGGAACACCGGTATATATATATAAAGGTGGCCGTGGTACCATTGTCTTTTGCTTGTTTACTCTATGGTACTACCACCCGGTTGTTTTATGTCAACTATCAGCTGATGTCAACTTTACTTTAAGTAAACAAAACAAACATAGAAAGAACAACAAAATAAAACGTCGAAAGCTAGCAAACAACAACTAGGCTATCATTATCCATTATTCCATTATCGTCATATCATCAAAAATAGCAATTTATTTAATAGATCAATGATCAATACAGTAGTAAACTTACCTTGCTTAATAAAAGTTTAGGTAGGTGTCTCTATATTGAAATTATTGATAGAATCAGTTATTACCTAACTTAGTAGGCTAACTGTTTTGTTACTAACTTTTATTTAATAAAATAAGTTCGCAACTTAAATTCTGTTTCGGCTAAATACCGGTAGACCTAATATGGAACTAAGCAAGTGGAATATCTTCAGCTTACTTGATTCAAATTTTATGGCAAACGTCAAGACTGTATGTGTGTTTGGTATGTAAAATAAACCTAGGCTAAGCTACTCATAAGCAAGTTGAGGTTAATGGTTGGAAATTAAGTGTTAGTACATTCTTTTAGGCTTTACCAATTGGCTAGGCCTAAAATATTTTCTGCCTAATGATTAATTACTTAATACATTTATCTTTCATACTGTATTAGTTAACTTAGCCTAATAATAAATAATTAATACAATTGGTGTGAACCTGGCAATAACTTGGCAATAACTAGTGCACGCGCCTTTAAAAATCTATTGCTGGCCGTTTTGCGGAAAAATACGTCCGCGAGCAAAATTAACGATGATGCCAACAGATAGAGGACACTTTAACGGACACGACAGTATCAAGATCATGTACCTGGGGGATAAGTTAAGGGGGGTAAAACCAGCAATAAGTAGTGCGCGCGCCCGATAAAATCTATTTCTGGCCGTATTGCGGAAAAATACGTCCGCGAGCAATATAAACGATGATGCCAACAGATAGAGGACACTTTAACGGACACTACAGTATCAAGATCATGTACCTGGGGGATAAGTTAAGGGGGGTAAAACCAGCAATAAGTAGTGCGCGCGCCCGATAAAATCTATTGCTGGCCGTATTGCGGAAAAATATTAGCTGAAGGAGTGCGATTTTCGGAAAACGCCTAATAGGGTTTTGTAGAGAATTTAATTCACGTTCGCAAAGATTCTTTCAAATCTTTTCTAGCTCTTACCGTTTTCGAGCATATGTATGTCTTACCTTCAGCCGCATATGCAACTGACTCAGGTATACAAATTCTAGACCACTTCTAGAGGTGCTAAGGAGTTGAAATTTCGCACACTTGTAGTTCTTGGGCCTAAACCCACGGGAAAATTTCAAAAAGTCGCATTTTTAAATTTTAACCCCCCCGAAATTAAGGGTTTCCCCCCCATGTTATTCTTATGGGGAATAACATTAAAAATAGCCGATTTTTGTGTGCCCACCTGAACCACTTAGAAACGTGCTAGAGACTTCAAATTTGCGTAGTATTGTAGTATGAGATCTTACATTAACGGTGGAATTCGTAAAAACCTAATTTTCAAATTTTAACCCCCCCCCCCAAAAAAATCCAAAATGGCGGACCTCTGAAAACGAAAAAACACATTTTTTTCAAACGCCTATAGCTCAAAAACGGTAAGAGCTAGAAAAGATTTGAAAGAATCTTTGCGAACGGGAATTAAATTCTCTACAAAACCCTAATGGACGTTTTCCGAAAATCGCACTCCTTCAGCTTCAAAAAACGCCCTACTTTCAAAATTTTGTAAATTTTATTCAAATGTTTTACGGTTTTCGCTATTTTCTCATATTTAAACAATTCTTTTTTGCACATATTATTAATGCTCTGTACTCTCCTTAATTTACTTTAAATTTCACTCATTTAATGTTTTTTTGTATCTTTACTCCTTAACCCACAAAACTTACGTTTAATGTCCAAATTTAATGGTTTTTTTACCACTTTTACAAGCCCCATGTTATTCTTATGGAGAATAACATTGAAAGTGGCCGACTTTAGTATGCTCATCTGAACCCTTTAGAAACGTGCTAGAGACTTGAAACTTGGTATTATTGTAGTAGAAGATCTTATATTAACGGCGAAATTTGCAAAAGTCCCATTTTCAAATTTTAACCCCGCCAAAAATCCAAAATGACGGACCTCTGAAAACGTTTTTTCCAAAACGGATATAGCTTGAAAACGGTAAGAGCTAGAAAAGATTTGAAGAAATCTTTGCGAACGGGAATTAAATTCTCTACAAAACCCTATTAGGCGTTTTCCGAAAATCGCACTCCTTCAGCTTATATTTTTCCGCAATACGACTAGCAATAGATTTTATCGGGCGCGCACTACTTATTGCTGGTTTTACCCCCCCTAACTTATCCCCCAGGTACATGATATTGATACTGTCGTGTACGTTAAAGTGTCCTCTATCTGTTGGCATCATCGGTAATATTGCTCGTGGACGTATTTCTCCGCAATACGGCCAGCAATAGATATTATCGGGCAAGCACACTACTTATTGCTGGTTTTACCCCCCTTATCTTATCCGCCAGGTACATAATGTTGATACTGTCGTGTCCGTTAAAGTGTCCTCTATCTGTTGGCATCATCGGTAATATTGCTCGCGGACGTATTTTTCTGCAATACGGCCGGCAATAGATTTTATCGTGTGCGCTCACAACTTATTGCTGGTTTTACCACCCCTAACTTATCCCCCAGGTACATGATATTGATACTGTCGTGTCCGTTAAAGTGTCCTCTATCTGTTAGCATCATCGGTAATATTGCTCTTGGACGTATTTCTCCACAATACGGCCAGCAATAGATTTTATCGGGCACGCTCACAACTTATTGCTGGTTTTACCACCCCTAACTTATCCCCAGGTACATGATATTGATACTGTCGTGTACGTTAAAGTGTCCTCTATCTGTTGGCATCATCGGTAATATTGCTCGCGGACGTATTTCTCCGCAATACGGCCAGCAATAGATATTATCGGGCACGCGCACTACTTATTGCTGGTTTTACCCCCCTTAACTTATCCCCCAGGTACATAATGTTGATACTGTCGTGTCCGTTAAAGTGTCCTCTATCTGTTGGCATCATCGGTAATATTGCTCGCGGACGTATTTCTCCGCAATACGGCTAGCAATAGATTTTATCGGGCGCGCGCACAACTTATTGCTGGTTTTACCCCCCTTATCTTATCCCCCAGGTACATAATGTTGATACTGTCGTGTCCGTTAAAGTGTCCTCTATCTGTTGGCATCATCGGTAATATTGCTCGCGGACGTATTTTTCTGCAATACGGCCGGCAATAGATTTTATCGTGTGCGCTCACTACTTATTGCTGGTTTTACCCCCCCTAACTTATCCCTCAGGTACATGATGTTGATACTGTCGTGTCCGTTAAAGTGTCCTCTATCTGTTGGCATCATCGGTAATATTGCTTGCGGACGTATTTCTCCGCAATATGGCCAGCAATAGATTTTATCGGGCGCGCTCACAACTTATTGCTGGTTTTACCCCCCCTAACTTATCCCCCAGGTACATGATATTGATACTGTCGTGTCCGTTAAAGTGTCCTCTATCTGTTGGCATCATCGGTAATATTGCTCGCGGACGTATTTCTCCGCAATACGGCCAGCAATAGATATTATCGGGCGCGCGCACTAGTTATTGCCAAGTTATTGCCAGGTTCACACAAGTTGACTATTCCTACTGACAAAATTGTATTTCTGTTTTAAACAGGTTAACTTGCATTTCTGAGGATGTCCATGAAGTTAGCGTACCCATATTAGCGTATCCACTTTTGGTTATACCAATCGTTAAGTAGTTCTCGATAACTTAGTTCCCCAATATTTTCGCTGAATCTCGAAAAATAAGAGTTACGAGGCGTAAAAAGTGGGTACCGGTACGCTAACTTCACAACTATATAATTTCCAGCGGGCACCGTTTTCTGACCAAAAATGCAAACATCTATAGGATCAATCGTTAGTTCTCGATTGTTCCCCAATATTTTAATTAAGTTAGGCTAGTTCTCAAAATATAAAAAAGTTATAAGGCATAGGCCTAAGTATACAACGTGGGTACGCTAACTTCACACCTAGAGAATTTCCAGCAGGCACCGTTTTCTATGCCCGCTTATTGACTTATTATAGCTCATATGTAATAACTTAAGTCATTCCATCAGTTTGACTCGGTAAAAACCATCGTGTATTCAACAGAAATCATTAATTTACTTAGATCAGCGCAATCTGTAAGTGGCGCACATGAACTAAGACAAATTTGATTAAAAACCTACGACAGCTTAAACATGGGGATGGAATGTCTAGTTGTATCCAAAGGTCTAACTTAAGTAGGCTAGGCCTACTAACTTAAATTATGGAAACATTTTATTAAATCGAGTTATAGGCCAATAATTGGCTATTTTGTATGACTAAATTTCTCTGTTGTTTTTCAGGCAGCCTGGGAAATGAAGCGCTGTTAATTACAAGAGACGATGAAGTGTTTTCCATGGGTCCCAACACTGCTGGTTGTTTGGGTCTAGGTAATCTTCAGAGCACTCTCACACCTCAGAAAATTGAAGTTTTATCTGGTAAAAAGGTTGTTGGTAAGTTGTCAATTTAGGATGATTTCACTTATTATTATAGGTTACTTAAACTTATCACACAACTTAACCTAGCTAGCCTAAACTGGTTTTAAAAAATTATTCGTCACCAACAGGCTGCTTGGATCCACAACAGTATATGTAAGGTAAGGCCAGAGCAAGTGCTTTAAGTGGATGGTACTGTGTTATTGTAGATTGGTTTTTGAAAACCTAAGAACTCATTGGATTTTCTTAAATTTCAATGAGTTCATTTTATGAATTAAAAAAACCTACCCATTTGTGTGGTTAGGCCTGAATAAGTTTGCAGATGTGCAATCAGTGATTAACTTTATATGGCCATCATTCATGGATCTCGATGGTATCGAAAACCTAGTTAAATACCTCAATTTGAAAGATTGACATCCAAAATATGGTCTAAGCCAAAAAATCAACCCTTAAAATGTTACTTTACCTTTTGGCTTTAATCATCACTTGCTTTCTAGGACATCTTACTTGTGTGTAAAAAATTGTCCATAACTTATGCACTAATGTGTATTAATTTGATTAATAATTTGAATTAAAGGCCTCCTCAGATTATTTATTCAGTATTATTTACTATTCAAAAGTTTATATTCCACTTTTTTTAGCAGAAGTTAAAACTGTTCAGGGGTTAGGTTGTATAAACTTAAATCTTCAACAACTTTTTTAGGTTTTAGCTATGGAAGTGGCCCCCACGTTGTAGCTTTTACGGAAAGTGGAGAACTATACACATGGGGCCACAATGGTTATTGCGAGCTTGGCAACGGTACGACTAACCAAGTCCTTATTCCTACTCTGGTCAGCACCAACTTGTTGGGTAAATTCATCATCGAGGTTGCTTGTGGAAGTCATCACTCATTGGCTCTTTCTTCTGATGGGGAAGTGAGTGTATAGCAAAATTAGTTATAGAGTATTTAAATATCTCAAATTATGTGTTACAGTTGTAAGTTCACAAGATGGTTTACTTACTGACTGCTTACTTACTAGGCCTACTGTGGCTATTGGTAGTAACCAAGAAGATGATACTTTATCTCATCAAAACAAGCCTTCAAGACATCCGCTTTGCTCTCTGCTGTCTCTTCTTCCCTTCTTTCAAGTCTTCTCAGGTTCTTTCTGATCAATCCTCGTTATCTCAACATTGGCCTTCTTGTTGGTCTTCTAAACATAGGATTATTAGACGATATTGTTTTGACTAAAGTGTAGTCCTTAGTATATCTGTACATGTCCAACCTGTATCATCCACCTGCTTCTTGTCTCAGCCAAAATGTACTGAATATATGTTAGTTCTTAATTCTCTGTTATGGTTATGACAAAACTTTTATGCCCGACCTATTAGCAAATTTCCCATATAAATTAAATAAATAAATTAGGGAATAAGCTATCATCATAGTACTCATGGTAAGACCTGGACCCGTGACCGATTTACTTTTTCATTTTGAGGTCCCCAGAGGCCAAAAAAACCAACTGTTCAATTTCATATCTATGTGTGTGTGTGTGTGTGTGTCCGTTAGCGCGATAATTTGAGCAAAAATTATCAGATTTTGAAGAAATTTGGTACAAATGTACAGCTAGACGTTTATTCGAACAAGTTCGTGAACTAGTATAATCGGACCATGGGAACAGGGGTTTATGGGGTTTTCCCATTTTTTACCCTAAAAACAAAATATCTTGCAATTTCTTTCCAAACCATTTTGTAGAGCTTGAAAAAAATATTAAATACATTCAATTGTATATCAATTCAGGCAAATGGAAATTCGCTTAGTCTGCAGGTTTGCTGCGGCGGAGGTATTATATATATATATATATAATATATATATTAAGTATGTTTATGTTGTAGCCTATATTATAGAGGCTTTGTAAAACTTTATTTATTGTTATCTTGCTGGTTAAAGATACTGTAAAAACCTTGGATATAGCTGAGATGTTTTAGTGCTTACCAAACAATCTGGATATGTTGCTTGATGATGAGAAAAGTCAATAGGTTTTTGATAGTTTGAAACTGGACCCAGCTAGCTATCCTTGGTCATTAGGTTGTTCATAAGTGTCTTGAGCACCCCATTCATTCTACACTCATCTTCCATTTGCATTAGAGGTTAAAATATTCCCTTGTTTGTTTGAAATAATGAATTCATCAAGCAGACTTTTTTTGCTGGTAATTTCACAGACCATTCATACAGTAGGTACCACAAAAGGCCTCAGTAATGTGACTATTTAAAGTTATACGTTCTATTTTGTCCACTCAAAATCACATACAATTGATGTTGTTTTCACTTTTGCCGCAGGTGTTTGCTTGGGGCTGGAATAACTGTGGTCAAGTTGGCTCAGGATTGTCCACCAACCAGAGTGTACCCAAGCGAGTTCTGTCTTCCATTGGAGGCAAGAAAGCAGTCAACATTGCCTGTGGCCAGACCTCCTCAATTGCTGTTATTGACAACGGAGAGGTTACTTAATCTTTTTAATTTTATTTTTATATGTCTCGCCTTCACTTCCTAAGATGCTATGCTCTCGCGCGGATCAGTTTCACACATTACTTTAGGCTAGGCCTTCATAATCGCATCATTACGACTACAGTACAATGTAATCCATTGGTGATTGGCGGACTCGGAAACAAAAGTCACGTACTCCCAGCTGAGATGCTCTATTGTATACTAATTCATAATTCGAGTTTGCTCTGTTACATCCATTTTCAACCCATATTAAATAGTATATTACGTTACTAGTCCTGAAAATAAGTGTTTACCGGACGAGTGTGGTCGTTCCCGTGCGAGACGAAGTTGAGTACGGGATTACCATACGAGTCCGGTAAACACATTTTGGACGAGTTACGTACGATAGTTTACGCCATACTACTAAATCTCTACAAATCCTTATATATTACCACCAATTAAAGGACTAAAAATCACTAGTCATAACCTCTAAGCGAGGTTATGTTTTTGTCTACAACCACTCATTGCCAACAAAATACAGTATAATCAGCTGATTGGTGTCCGGTAAAACTCATTGCATAACAGTAGTACGCAATGAAACCCCATTTGATTAAGCTGGAGGCAAACAGCTGTTTTCTGGACTAAATACTTGCGTGGGAAGTTCGTTAAAACAGTGTAGTATGGCGTAAAAATGTTTACGGTTTAGCAAGGCAACGCTAAATAAACAGGCCGTCATGCTCCACAGGCATGACGTGAGTTTTGCCGTTTGTGATGAGCTGCTCGTTTTAATCTTTTCTTGGAAAACAAAAATATAACTAAAAAAAATTACATTATGTCTTGCGTCGCCTATAATGACGTCATGCCTGTGGAGTTACAGCCCGTTTATTTAGTTTTGCCTTGGGTTTAGGTGTAATTTTAAAGCACAATCATTCCGAGTGACTAATGGCAATTAAAAGTAAATTGCCTTTAGGTCTTGGCCCCCCTAGCCTTTGTTTTATTTCTAGAGAGAGCTTACAAAGGTTCAGTGTAGCTCATTGACTTTATTTATAATAGCGTTTACATGTGAACTAATTGTAGTTTAACAGCTGGTTACCTTCATTTGATAGTTTAGTAACAGTCAGATTGTAAACAAGGGACAAAACAGTTGATAAAAATCTATATAATTAAATACGCCAACACAAAATTTGCTGGTTGAACTCATCTGCCATTTCTTAACCGATTTTAATCATTGACACCAACAAAATAACTATTGGAAAGAGTGTGTCATGTAGATTTTCAAACTGACCTTACATTTTTCAAAAATTCCCTTGGGCTCGGCCCCAGTGGCTTTTAAAATTCCCATGCTATCCTTAAGAAGAACATATTTATTTACATTATGATCAGCTGGATATTTAATTGCTGTTAATATTTAAGCTGCAATTCAAAGATATGCGTCCTACAAAAATGAAATCTTTAAAAATTAAATCTTTGAAAGAACTCATTTGCAAATTATGGAAACATAAAAAGTCATAGAACGCCACTGAGTAAAAGAAATAGAGATAATATTTTTTAAAGAAGTTATGATCGTTATTAGCCTATATAATTAAGAACACCTACAAGATGAAGATTCCTACAAACAATGAACGAGGATGTTAGCCGAAGTGCTAAAATTTTTAGTTCGAAACATGGCCTTAACTTTGTGATCATTGCAGAGGAAAGCCCTCTAAGGCTAAATAAATCTGGTACACAATGACATTAATCTATGTTTCCATAAAAGTCAAGTGATTTTAGAATAATAGCCTATTAAAATATCCAAGAAATCCTTACTAACATTTTTATTGAAGGCATTTAACTATTATTCATATATAGCTAAGGGAAACAAAAACCAACTGATGAGGTCTTTAACTCTGCATTTTCTCAGGTAAATATAATTAACGTTATTGCAACTAACCAAAAGTATGCCAATTGAACAAATCAAATTGTGAGAGACAACAGGAAGTCCTTGAAGTCCAGGAAGGTGATGAAAAAATATTTTATCTTTATTAAAGAATGACTAAAATTTGTAAACTTCCTGCTGGCGATAAGAGTGGTACCATGCATATGTTTATCAATAACGAAGATAAACGTGGACAACCTTATGCGGGTATAAGTCAGGAAATGTTTGTACAAAACACTAAAAAACAATACCAGGTTATGAAATATGATAAAATATTTACAGGAAATGTTGATTACTATTATAGACATCGTGAGTATCTCCATGAGTTACACATCGGTAATCTTCGAGTTGACTCTTTTAAAATCATTGTAAATATGACTTGTTATTAGTTTTGAAATAACTTCTGTAATGCTTTGCAATTGCTCGAATTCGAGGAACATGTACACTAGTACACTAGTGAATGATTAATAGGTTACTTTTAGGCATAGGCTTAATCGAAACATAACTTATACTTGCTTTATGTATTTATATACAGGGTGTTTCAGAATTCTTGTCGGATATTTTAGGGTATTGTTCCTGGGTAAGAAACAAATCAAAATATCATATTTAAATTGACCGGAAGTTCTTAGTTACTTACACAGCCACCATTTTGTTTTTTCGCTTATCGATTGTTTTCTAAAAAGTGGTAAGAGATACGAAATTGAAACTTTGCAAAAAACATTTATGACAAATAGACAAAGCTACAAAAAAATTAGGAATAATTTTAAAATTCATAAAACAAAATTTCGGTCATTTAAAATTTTGTTTCTTAAATAACTCAAAAACCATTGAGTTTACAAAAAAACTACAAGAATAACTTTTTTTAAGAAATTTTAATTACAAATCAATTGACACCTTAATCTTTAAGATTAGATGAATATTAACTTAGATATGGCAGCTTTAGTAATACGTGACCGCTGGAGGCACAGAAAACGTACTACTATACCCAGAATGCCAACCGCATGGTAAAAAGCATTAAGCGGTTTGAGAGAGCTTTGCCTGTCAATCCGTAGGCAGCGCCACCAGCGTTGCCATGCAATAGCATAGCAACGCTGGTGGCGCTGCCTACGGATTGACAGGCAAAGCTCTCTCAAACCGCTTAATGCTTTTTACCATGCGGTTGGCATTCTGGGTTATAGTAGTACGTTTTCTGTGCTGGAGGTTAGATGTAGTGCATGCCGAAGCATGCGGCCACAACAAGTCTGCAACACAACAAGTCTGCCACAACAATGCAACAGTCTCCGTCCGCTTTGCAAGTTATTTTTAAAGGATTCTAGATTATTTCAAACAATAATAAAATATTACATAGCACCAAAAATGTATTTTTATCAATTATCAATCATTAGGATGGATTAAAAATTTCACAACTTTTTACTGTCTTTAAAATTCACACTAGTGTGAATCTTACTGAATTGGTTTAGACAGGAAAATAAAAGTATAAAGTCTAGTATTAACCCTGTAAACACTGTTTTAATGCTGTCTAAAATTACGTTACTGTACTTTATTTGGCTCCCTACTTCATTTGGCTTACTAACTCTCTAATCACTGTTTTAATGCTGCCCAAAATTACCTTACTTTATTTGGCTCTGTTCTGTTCATCTATTTCTGACCTGTTTTAGGTTTATGCCTGGGGCTACAATGGAAGTGGTCAACTTGGTATTGGAAACAGTGTAAATCAACAAAGCCCCACCAAGGTTACTGGATTAGCAAACACTGTTATAGTTAAGGTGAGTCAAAGTGTTTGCATTTTGATTTTAAGCTAGATGTTGAAATGAAACGTCATTGAAAGAAAGTGTTAATACTTGTTTGGACAGAGTACTTATTTTTACAACATGCTGCAGGCTGGGTTGTTATAGTTCCTTTTTAACCCAGTAATTCCCATGGTTATGCATTTAAAAGCTTGAGATAATAACAATTAATTATGAGTTGAGATGAATTACGTGTATGAAACTAGAATCTAGAATCAGTATAACAATTTAGTATCGGCAAGACGGTTGCCAGTTGTCTGACATTGAATAGTTTAATGTGCAATATCTCTGCATTTTCTTACGCTGAAAATAATGTTTTGTTTTAACATTTAGGTTTTTCATACCCTAACAGTGTGTGTGTGTTTGTATTCACCGAATAGTGGCATCCTTCACAGGCACACGGCCGTACTGTGGCACCTTCAAAAATTGTGGCACCTTTTTCAGGGTGCCACAGCTAATTCGATCATTTTTGAGGTTTTCCAGCATTATTACGTCGTTTAAACATCACATGCCACAATTGAGTATTTTTGAACTCGTTGATGTGAGTTTAAGTAGCGCAGGTACACACCGAACTGTGGGACACGAAACCATACAGGTAGCTAGCGCGCCTCGCGCCGTCCGCCGGAACTATAACTTTCCTAATGCTACGTTGCCAATTCTCACGCCAGCCTACACTCTAAATAGTGGCACCATGCCACAATTCAGTATATATCAACAGTGTGTGAACAGGATGCCACTTAATGAGTTGTAGAGCTTGAGCAGTGTGTAGAACAGTGCAACAAGCAACTAATAAACTAATAATACTACTGTACTGCCACGTACTATAAAACAATTTAAGTACCATAAATAATATACTTTTGCTCCGAGTGGTGAACAATGTTTTACATTACAAATAATTTGTGTAGTAAATAATAATTTAAATTGATTTTACCTAACCCGCCATTTAAACTTCCCTATCCCAAGCGTGATGTATACAACTTCCTTACTTCTCGAGTGATGTAAAGTATCAAAAACTCACTTGGTGATGTAAAGAAACCCATTTAAATAACATTGAATGCTTAACTTAAAAAATATAACTCTATGGAGCCAACGACGTTCAACGCTAGAAATCAGCTGTGCGCTTGAATGTTATTGTTATGCTTTAAAGTATTTTCCTACCTAACCTAGCTTTTGTTAGTAAAAGAACGTTACTGATAGAAGATGAGTGAAATGGATAATGAAAAATATTGTACGTAAACCCATGTATATTGTCGGGTCAGGTAAAATCTTGTACATTACACGTTACGCAAGAGCGTGTTTACATCATTAGGTGAATTATGCAACGAGCGGAAGCGAGTACAACACAACATTCACCTGTGTGAAGTAAAAACGCTCTTACTACACTTGTAATGTAAATAGCTACTACGCCACCATTAAAAAATTGATTTTCGTTTACAAACATAAAATTGGTAACGTAGTTATTTTGTATCAATTGAATTTGTACATTGAAACAATAACAATGTTTGAGGTTAGAACGCTATATAAGTTGTCCTAGACTGCATTTTTTTTATCTTGCAAACTATTTCGTGCTGATACATCTATTTTTTTTTAACATTCTAGTCATGTTGACAAAATATTTTACAATTACATTTCTGAATCACTCAGCAAAGGTAGATTTCGATGCATCATTGCTGAAAGTTATGTTTTGCTTCTCACTCTCAGAGTATTCCAAAGACATCTAATGTTTCAATCCATGTTCAAATGTTATATGAGGTAAACATATAACCGAATCAATTAAAGTACTTAAATTAAAATACATATTATTATCAACACGCATAATCTAGTTCAGATTATAATATCATCTCACAATCATATTTGTAAAACCTACTGTGGTGTTTTAACCAGTCCCCACTAACAAAAGCATAAAATGAAAGGTCCTAAAGAGGTTAACATTGAGTCATAACAAGAGTAGTTTAAAAGTTGTAACCGTGATACTGTAAATGATTTGATATTGTTAGATATTATACAATCGTTTTACAATTTTGTCAATCTATCTGTTACTTTCATACAAATGTATTTTTATTATTCAATGTTTTGTTTTGTAGAACCTTTAGTATTCTCAACTTTATTAATAACTAGTAGAATAGCCGTCCTTCGTACGGGGTTGGCATATAAGTAGAAAATGATCATTGCAGTGATGGGAGAGGAAACGGTTTAAGAAAATATAGTCTTTTAATTTATACGGTATCCTATAGTGTAGCACACATATAGCCTACCTATAATAAAAGAATGTGTTTAATGGTTTGCACTGTAAACGAAAACCTATCACAATAGTTCCAAACATGTTAACAGGGCAATTTTCTAACATATTTTAGTGAAATTATAATCAGGCAAACGGGAATTCGCTCAGTCTATAGGTTTGCTGGGGCAGGGGGATTATATTACTGTTTACAAACAAATAAATCAAAAGAATATACCTCATAACTCAGGATAAGGGCCTAGGTTGATAAGGCAATATAGAATGTTGATTATTTCCTATATCCATCGAATGATTTCTTTTACAATGAATTATTATAAAAATAAATAAATATTATTACAACATTTCACAAATATTATAACAGACTCAGTATAGTTAGATCATAAACAAATGAAGTACTGTAACTGAAACAATCCTATAATAATGAAATTACATTAACATATGGTTTGAGAGCTCCTTTAGGTAATGTTAAATAATGTTTACGTTCAGGCTAGTGACATCATTATTTTAAATTTATAATCCTTACCCTCTCTGTTCTAATATTCGTGCAGTATTTAATAAGGTTTGAACCAGCTGTGTTGAATTGTGAAATCAAAATCAATTTGACAGTTAGTTCTGCTTGTTTACATTTTTAAACTTACTAGGTTTGTTCTTTGTTACCATGGATACCATCAATCAATATTTACTTTTAAATCTCTTATCTCAGATTTTTGAAAGCCCATGGGGCAAAGCCCTAGGTGAATATCGAAGCGGTAATAGTTCTATATGTATCCTCGGAGCTGTAGCTTCATTTGTGTGCAATTTGAGCATAGTCGGATCAGTAGTTTTTAAGATTAGCTCATACAAACACACACACAGACACCCCCTCTTCTTTATCTAATATATAATATAATATAATATAATATAATATAATATAATATAATATAAATATAAATATAAATAATAAAATTCTCGTGTCACAGTGTTTGTCTGCAAACTCCTCCGGAACGACTTCACCGATCGTTATGAAATTTGGTGTGTAAATTCTGTAGGTATGCGAATCGGACGTAAACTATTTCCCGTTTCGAAATTCTTAAAAGGGCTCCGCCCCAGTGGCTCTGGAGTTTCCCATGTTAACCTTATGAGAAATGGAATTAATGAATCTTAACAGCTGTTTCAATTAAACAAGTTGGTTCTGTTCTATGATGTTCAATAGCATTAAAGTTACAAGGATTACCAACAGGGTGCAGCACTATTATTTCTTTTACATTTATGACAACAGCTAATTTGCAACCAAAAGGTGAGTGAGCGTAGCGAACGAACTTCAACCTGGAGGCGAGTGAGCGTAGCGAACGAGCTAACCTGAAGGCAAGTGAGCGCAGCGAACGAGCTCCAACCCAAAGGTGAGTGAGCGTAGCGAACGAGCTCCAATCCAAAGGTGAGTGAGCGTAGCGAACGAACTTCAACCAGGACGTGATTGAGCGATGCGAACGAGATCATCTTGAAAATTAAACGTAACGGTACTTTCTTTCCATCGGTCTGTCTTAGGGGAAACCTATAACTTAGGTGATACGAAGTTCGCCGGGTCAGCTAGTAATAGTATATAATATAATATAGAATAGAATAGATAGATAGATAAACAACATACAATTTCACCATACTATTTCAACATACAATATCAATTTTAGGAAATTCCTAGTATGGTTAGAAGTATATTGGCATCCGTGAAGTTTGTGTAATGTTTTTTAAAAACACTATGGGATATATTTAACTTCACTTATTATTTATTTAATATGTTTCTATTTCTTGAAATTCTCAGTTAACTGGGAGGCGGAGCAAACAGTTTGTTCTAAAATGAACTTGAAAATTTTAAACAATCTTTTTTCTGTTGGTTTACTTAAATTCTATAATGTTCTACTATGAATGCAAATCTTTAATATAGTCTAAATTTCCAGTCCCACCCTCAAAAACTATGATATTTAACAGTTGAATTTTTATAACGTATCAACACATTATTTTTAATCGGTCATCAAACTGATTCTTGAATTAGTAGTTGCAAGAGTACGCAAAACTGCAGAGAGTCCTTGAAAATGCTTGTGCAATGATATAATTTTAAATTATAAAAGAAACCCTTCAAAAAATTGTATTAACAGGACCAGAGGACCAATATGCACATGGTATTTCATTTGTATAAGGCAAAAAGTTCAAATCATATTAATTTATGATAGCCAATAGATTTTGGGTTTCCTTAAAAACAATTATATAAAACTGTCTGCAAATGTCGATAAAACTAATTTTATAAGAAATGGTGGATTCTTCTGTTGCTCTGTAGGCAACCATTTTGGTCACACAAGGAAGTCCAAACTTATATCTTAGTTTGAACAACGTCATCTTCATTTTACATTGCACAAGATACATAATCGACACATAGGCTTAGGCCTACAAAAAAAGAAGTAAAGAAAGTAACTTGTGATGGACCACGCAGATATAGGAACAGTCTAGACTTGCCTCTTACTGACGTTTTCCAAACGAATGTAGAAGTTAGATCTACATTCTTCATTTTAGGCTTGAAATACATTTGTTTGTGGGTAAGAGCGAATGAGTAAGCATGAACAATAATTTTACCCTTCTCCCCGAAACGCCACCATACCACAGCATCTTATTAGCAGAGCTCAAGGTCATTGACGTAATTGTAATGAACTAAATTTAGACTTCCACCCCCCAATGTCACCAATGGGCCCTAAAGGTTGGTATGTAACAATTCATGACGGTTGAACAATGGCCTTTAAAATACGCTTTTAATTTGTTTTCTAGCGTTTACCGTATCTTAGAAAAAGTTAGTTTACATAATTAACTACAAAAACTTTTTGGGCAAAAGAAAAATTAATTAATAATATATGTATCTATATCGTATTAAAGTGTGATAAAGGTTTGGCGTTTGGTTTACAATGTAAAAATTTTCAAAGTCACAAGATGGTTTCTGAAACTCTTTATACAACTCTCCTTTATAAAAATTAAAAAAAAATATGATCAAAAAAATTGAGCTCTTTAGCCACAAAATCCACCGTTTTTTTACTTACCTGACGAAGAAATAAAAACAGTAGCAGCCGACGAACTTTGTTATGTCATATTTTAAAACTCATTTAAAAGTACCGACTTTATTTCAAGATCTAAAATAGAAAATATAAACTTTTGAGCTTTTAATTAGAACCAATAGTGTCCTAGACTAATTGACATCTTTTATACAAAGTTTCAACGATTTACCTTTAGTCTAAATAGGCTAAATGTCAAGTTATTTTGAAGCTGGACATTGAGTCTTGGTGCCGTTTTCATTGGCATCTACCACTTCTAACCTGCACTAAGATGGTGGACCTGGCTTCAACTGCTTGTATGTTAGTTATATAGACGTGCTCCATCTATTGGTCTTATGTGATCGTTGATTTAAACTAACGGAATTCTGATGAAAATTTGAACATGAATTATTAGCAGTTTTGCAGGGATGATTAACAATAGTTTTTTTTTTTTTTATTATTTGAATTGCTTGTTAGTTGGCAACAAACCTTAGAGATGTGTATACATTTTTTAGGACTAAATTGAATTGGCAGATGTAATGGTAAAGAAGCGTACAAGAAAAAGTTACTGTCGCCTCATCCAATTTTTACAGCAGTCAGCTGTTGACATGCTAGGCGAGCAACCGCGACAGTGAGGACGGGGAACAGCTGATTTCATGTTCCTAGTTGGCAAATTGTCTGCTAGCTACTAACGTACACATGCATAAGCCATCAGCGGTAGCACCAGTAGCCTCATTGACTATATAAACACTTGTGTTAAGGTTTAAATACAGTAGTCAATGTTATTACTGAATTTGATACTATACATATTGTTACTAATATATGAAATGGAGAAAAACGTTACCTTAAAAATACAAAATTTCCCAATTTATATCCAGACCTTTTTAAATAGCTTAGAAAACAAATAATTTAGTATATCAAAGTGTTTTTGTACGGTTATTGGTAACAGGACAAATTCAAAAATTGTAAATTTAAAATTCCCTTGTTATTCTTATAAAGAAAAAAATGTTGTAGTTTGCTTGTTTATGGATATATTTTGATCAAACTTGATAAATTTATTTTAACAATTACAAAACTATTTGGATCATGAATGGTACTCTAGTTTTCCCAAGGTAGGACACGTGAATTGGAATTTTGGCGTTACAGACACAATGACAGTAACAATCAAACAAACGTACAGATATTGACATAAGACTCGTTTCGGCTTTATTATTATATAAAACGTAGAAATAACCAAACACTTCATGAATCTACGCAATGTACAGACAAAACAGTAAAGACTTTATAATCTTATAATTAACTATAGTGTTTCTGCCCGTGCTTCGCAACGGGGTGAGAATATTTGGGTCTCTTAATCCACCGTAAAATAGTATATTTCGTACCTAGGGCCGAAAGCGAGGTTTTGCCGACTCTAGATCGGGTTTTAAGTTCGAGATGAATTCGAGAACGTGAAACGATCGAGAGCTGCAAACCCATTTTGGCTCGTGGTACGAACGCTATTTTTTACCCAAGTATGTTTTGCAATATAACGTCCCTCTTATTTATGTGAAATATTTTGAGGAATCAGCAAAATCAAAAATAACAATAAATAGTTGTCGAGGCAGCTGTGACAAAAAACAATAAGCATCTAGACTGCCAGTGCAACTCCTAGGAACGGCCGATCGGTAGGATCGTGGATCAGATCGAAAAACCCCCCACCACCGCTCAGTGCCGATGGCGTGACGTCAACCATTACTGCAACGATACTGAACCGAACTGAGTCATGAGCCTTTGTGGTGTAGTGGATAGCGTGTCGGGCTGATAATCTGATGGTGCCGGGTTCGAATCCCACTGGGAGCACTAACTTTTTGTCAACAATTTTTTTCATATCAGCAAGTTTGGTTGGTTTGGTTAGGTTATGACAGTTTAATTTTATAATTAAAAGATTGTAAAATTGAATTTGAGACATTTTTAATTTTATTTTTAGAACAGAGCTATTTTTCGATTAGTAAACCTTCATTCGAGTTTATCATTATCAGCAAGTTTGATTACTTTGGTTAGGTTATGATAGTTTAATTATATTTAATTCAAATTTAATCTACAAATTATACGTTTTGACAGCAACAGTGATACAGATAACAATTTTCCGCGAACAGTTAGATAAGCTATGCTGATGCGCCGGTATGATCTGATCCACGATCCTCCGTTCCTCGGACTTGCACTGGCAGTCTAAAACAAGTCTATTATTGCAATGCCATGGATACAGCTTGTGCATTTAATATACATTAATCTTTTAAGTAAATAAGCGAACAAATGATTTTGCGGTCCTAGGGATGTAAACGCCTGCTTGGCCCCTATATGACGATGACAGCTGCCATGGTCAGGAAAACATAACTTTCAGCCACCAATTAACGTATGTAAAACAGCTAAAACATCTAAGTGTGGTGAAAAATTCGTTACACATACTTTTGCATTACCATGAATTAATTATATGCATACAGAAAAAACGGAGTCACTCTTATTGCGTATTTTAAGGTAAATTTCTTGTATATTCCCATGAAACTGATAATTTACCCAGCACATTAAGGCCTTTAATCCAAGTATCTAAGTTCGTAAACCATACATATAATGTGACGATAAAATATCAACGACATAGCATGTAGTTTTATGTAATCCTCACATTTCATTTGGTCCATTGACTTTAAATTTTCAAAATTATTGGAGCATGGAAAAAACTGCATGTAAAAAATCGTTACACTAATAAAAGACGACGTGAGGAGCTCGGGCAATGAGCTACAGCGGCTAGGGCATAGCCACATGAATACAGAACGGAATGAAGGAACTAGAACGGAGAACTGGCAACAGCGCACGCGAGAAGTAGGGGGGGCGAACACACCGCTCAAGCGCTACAACGCATTAGTGGCATCCTGTCCACACACTGTTGATATATACCGGTTTGTGGCAAGGTGCCACAATTAAAAACTGGAATGTTAGATGTTAAAATGGAGTGTTCATTAAAAATATCGATGCACACATGTTTCTACCACCTTCCTTCATCTACTGGTGGCCGCAGTTTGAAAGATGCCACAATTAGGTGTTTGCGAGTATGCGGTAAAACCCCGTATGTGTGTGTGTGTGTGTGTGTGTTTATGCAAACAAATACTCCGCTTACCTTTCTTTCTTTGCTTTTTTTTAATGTAACAACTTTTTGCAGAAAATTAAAAATTAAAATATCAAACTTTCTTGATTGAATCTTGAATTTAAATTTTTACTATCCACTGTCAGGTATCAGTATCAGCATCGGCTCTTCATGATCAATTCTTGATACCGTTGACACATCCCCAGTCATAAGTCACACTTCTGGTCGCCGAATCCTTTTCAACACAGTTACTCAAGCAGTTGTTTTGTTTTAACTAAGCAGGCTGCATTAATGAATGTATGGCCAAATTGATTATTTTAGCAAATCACACCCAACCTCTAGCCCAGTGGACCATCAGTCTGCTACTTCCAGTGCTTATTTATTCTCATACCTAGCATTGAGAATTGAATTAAATTGTTACAACCTTTAGAACTAAACAATAGCCCAATTATTTAAGTAGGTTTATCTATAATCCTTCCTATTTTGGCCCCTATAGACAGAATTCACTCTGTATTATACTCTGTGTGTATCAGGTGGTATGTGGCTACGCTCACACACTAGCATTGTCTGACGAAGGAACACTGTATGCCTGGGGTGCCAACACACACGGACAACTAGCCAGTGGGAACAAGTCCAACTCTTGCAGCCCAACTCCTATAGCTGCTGACATTGGCAGGTAATGAGGGTGTCTAGCCAACTGGGAATGGACGTAAACTTAAGTAACCGGGAAAAAGTCTGTTAATTGGACGTGAACTTTGTACGGGATTGGACAGTAAGTAATTGTCAATAGGCTATGGCAGCAGCCTGCTGCTATGGCATACTGCTTGTTTGCATCGTGGCCCAAGATGGAAACTGATGCTGCGATGAAAGGTTCGGTGGGAGTTTTAAGGTTTGCTGGCCTCATTATTACAGGGGTAATGAACAGCTTTCCTGGATCATCTATTGACTGTTTACTGGACCATCTACCCATTGACATCCTTCATAAAATAAGAGAGCCCTCCGTCTCATATAAAAAAACTTGAGGATAACCAAGTGATCAGGGGTCTCATTCATGGTCAAAAATCATTCATATGGTACTGAACCAAGTAGGCCTACTGGACATGCCATTTACCAGATCTTGTTTCCAAAAATATGCCTTTGACTAATATTATTCAAATGAATGAATGAAATCAAGGAATCAATCAATGACTTATGAATATGATCAATGAATCAATGATTCAAGGAATTAATACCCTTACTAAATTGTTGCTAATTTAATAGCTGTCGACATTTATTTTTTTTTTTTCTCCATTGTAATGTACCTTGTTTTATCACAGAGTTGTGGAGATAGCAGCAACACATTATGGTCATATATCTGCTGCTATGACTCAGAACTGTACAGTCTATATGTGGGGACAGTGTAGAGGTGAGCAATCTTTAATATAACTAGTAAACAAATTTTACAAAACTTACCAATAAATTTTTAGCGCAATCGTGGTCAGAAACTAACAGAAGCAATTAAAACTGTGAATAAAATATTATTTATAAAGTTGGATAAATTTAAACACTAACAAAATTGGGAAATCAAAGCGTTTCATACTTATAAGCCGACCCCGTACGAAGGACAGGTACTCAGCTAGTATTCTATATACCAGACTGGCCAAAGTATATCTGCAAATGTATCTCTAACAGTATGTGATGAAGTTTTCTCCAGAACAATAGGCCTTATCAAGGGTGGTAAGGGTCGATAAGTGAAAGTCGGTGTATCTTACACTTCTATTTATGCCATGTTCTTCTTATTCTAACACACAGGTGAACACAACAGGTATACACAACACAGGTATATATACAATTTTATATACAGTCTTGATCTTGGGTCCGTTGTCCTCCTACCAGGCAGTGTATCCGTGCTTGTGTTCATTGAAAAAGTAAAGTAAAATAAAGTATATATTTGAACGAATAATGGTTTTGGCCTCTGGAGACCTCAAAATGAAAAAGTAAAACCGTTACGGATCTAGGTCTTTCCGTGCCACCTATAGTAATGTATACATAGCTTCTAAATTACAAGCACTCTAAATTTAGAAAAATCGGTTTATTCAGACATGCATTAAAAACTGTGTTATTATTGTACTGTATTATAGTTTTTTTTTGTTTTTTTTTTTGTTTTTTAGCGGAGTCTACAAAAAATACTAAATTAAAAAAATTATTTGTCCCACAAAAGTTGTTTAAAGTCATTTTGTAAATAGACATCAGCTACAGTGACAAAATTTTAAGTTGTTCTTGGCTTATAACTTAACAAATAAAATTAATTCGATAGTACTGTTTTTATTGATTTATTCTTTACTTACGTTTTCGATACTTTTGTTGTGATATCCTAGTGGGATCAATACTGCAGTTCCGATACAGTAGCAAACCGAACATTTGAAAGATTGGTGAAATCGCAACGTCCCTGACCATTGTCACCCTGCTTACTATATAGTCACTATAATTGATGAGCTTACATTTCTATAACTCTGAATATAATTCAAACTCCAAACATAAAACTGTGATCGTTACTTTTGGTCTAAAAACTGTCTTTTTATTCTATCATTTTTATAGAATAGAATAGTGTTTAGTATTATAATCTTCAAAAAGAACTTTTCTATAAAGACATAATCATTTGATCCCAGGCCAGACTGTCTGTGATCCTACGTCGACCCCCTTCACCTCATTACACGAGGTGTTTGCTTGCTGTGCCAACCCGGCTGTATTGTGGCATCCGGTCACAGTGCGGTGTGAGCGAGGCACGTCCATCAACGACAGCCTCAAGATGGCGTTTGATGACGAGAAGACCAGTGACCTCACTATCATGGTTGAGGACAAGCCCATCTATGTTCACAAATCAATACTCAAGATACGCTGCGAACACTTCAACAACATGTTTCAAGAACACTGGGACGCCAATAGTCAAAAGTAAATGTAGAATTTTTTCCCTACTATTGGCGATGGACCTCATTGTTTTATCGATTTGAAACGGATTTTTTTTGTGTTTTATTTTCAAACATTGAAATTGTCTATGAAATATTTAGGAATTTTTGGTAAAGAGCTCTAAGTCGGAATAGATTTGATTTAGTTTTTGATAGGAAAAACAGGCTTACATGTACAGTGGGCTTAAATCTTTTCAATATTAAACAAATTTTACTTTTGCTAATATTTAACAAAAGCCTGAATACATCTTATAAAATATCTGAAAAAATTGACTTAATCGATTCATATTTTAAAACTCTATGTTTGTGTGTGATGTTTTGGCCATTATGAAGATACAGTTAGCCATCGATAATGTAGCAAATAGATATGGCTAGGAGAGTCTGTGATTGCTAAAAATATATTGTATTATCATCATTGTTTTTAGTGAATTTCCCATATAGGGAATAAGCTATTACCGTAGTACTCATGGTAAGACCTGGACCCGGGACCGATTTATTTTTTCGTTTTGAGGTCCCTAGAGGCCAAAAACACCATCCGTTCAAATTCATATATATATATATATATTTATATATATATATTTATATATATATATATATATATATATATATATATATGTGTGTCCGTCAGCACGATAACTCGAGCAAAAATGATCCGATTTTGATGAAATTTGGTACAAACGTGTAAACCTACATTTATTCGATCGAGTTCGCGAACCAGCATGATCGGACTATGGGAACGGGGGTTTATGGGGGGTTTTATGGGGTAAAAATAGGTTTTTCCCATTTTTGACCCTAAAATCACAAAAATTTACAATTTATTTCCAAACCATTTTGTAGAGCTTAAAAAAACAAATAATTTAGTATATTGAAGCGTTATTGTGCGCCTAATGGTTATAGAGAAAATTCCAAAAAATTGTAAATTTAAAATCCCCATGTTATTCTTATGGAGAATTAGTCAACTGTTGTAGTTTACTTGTTTATGAACATATTTTGATCGAATTTGGAAAATACATTTATTTCTTACTAAACTTTTAACATAAAAAAACACCTTTTTACCCTCCCTGTTGCAGCAAACCTAAGTAGGCCCTACTCGTTAAACTAATTCTATTTAAATAGGGAATAAATATGATATTTTTAAGGAGGCATTTTAATGTGAAATCCTATCAGGCTAATGGAAATTCGCTTAGTCTGCAGGTTTGCTGCGGCGGGGGTATTTTCTTAATGCATTTTATCAAGGTAATATGTCGCCATATTTTAAGTGCAGTATTAAGCATATCTTACGGTAAGAACATATGAGAAAATTTAAAAAAAGTATGAAACAGTACATGTAATCTGTTAAAATTAGAGTCTACAATGACAATTAATGCAAGATTGAGGATGGAGAAGGATTCATATAATACATACTTGTTTTGTTTCCACTGAAAAAGACTGCCAAAAAGTCTCAGATTATGGTGGGACAGCGGTATTCTTGGGCTCACCTTTAGTTCACCTTAAGTTGGCTTAAGAGTCATAAAAACCCAAACAATGACAATCATATACATACATACATACAGTGCATACAGTTACACAGTGTATGCACACATAAAAAATCCCCTTTACAAGTCTGTTCAATTATTTCAACTAGAGGTCGTCCAGCGGTCGAAAACTCGACCAAAAATATGTAGGCCAACAATTGGAATTTTTTAGCTAGAAGCGGTTGAGGTATGTTGAAATATCTTTGAGGATGAACCTTTTTGGCAGTAGTGAGTGTGATGTGTGTTCAATGTTCACTAGTAAATTTTTGAGGTTAAATCAAAACGAACAAACTATCAATTTCATTTTTGTAAAATGCAAACCTTTTCTGTATTTTACAGAGTGCTAGAGATGACACAGTATTCCTACCCTGTGTACAAAGCTTTTCTTCAGTACTTATATACAGATCAAGTTGATTTGCCTCCTGAAACTGCACTGAGTAAGTGTTTCTGAATCAATTGAGTGAATTAGCAAGTATTTGTTACGTTTCATCAGTGGCGGTTCCAGGGGGGGGGGGGCGATACAGTGGCCAAAGCCACCCCCCCCCCCCCATTGGACCATACATTTAGTGCTAAAAACGTAACCGTTGTTGGTTGGATACAGTTCTAGACGTTCAAAATGGCTTTAGAAAGTCACCAAATGGCTTTAAAATACCAAATTTTCTAGGGGAATGGCAAAAAATCCTGGGGGTGTGGGAACTCCTTGATAAGGTTCTAGAACCACCACTTGTTTCATTAACAACTTAAATTAACTCAGGGCTTCTTTCTATTTAAAGAAGGTAAACGACCTTTCTTCATGAGTTAAATTTAACTTCTTTAAATTAACTATCAGCATTTTTAAATAGTTGAATGTTTAGAGATCAATTGGGTTTAGGGGTTTGTTTCTGTTAAGTTCCAGCTACAACTGAGGCTGGTACTGTACCAGATCAACATTTTTTGCACAGATTTTCAAGGGAGAGGCAATTTCCTCCAGCTAAGAACCTAAGAAAAAAGGATTATGGTGTACATTCTGCATCCTGTTGCTCATAAACAAGTAAGTTTTGAGAAAAAAAATGAAAAGAACAAAAAAGTCTTAAAATCACATCTACATTCTATAAATATCAGTGTTCCAATATTAAAGTTAGCTGCAATTTTTGTAAATGGTGGCCACTTTTGTAACCCCAGAATCAATATTTTATTTTAAACATTTTTTATGAATTTTTAGAATTTAGATGCGATTTTAAGGTTTATTTATTCTATGCATTTTCTCCCCAAACTTGCTCGTTTTGGAGCAATATAGGATGCAGAATGTACACCACAAGCCATTTTTTCTTAGGTGTAACATGCTGTAACTCCTAAACAACTAGCTTAGCTATTGGTTCACTTTAGGTGAGACACCCTGTATATAGATTGTAATATTTATACATAGATAAACCCCTTGACTAAGGATACTTTTCCTTTTGGGTTATTTTTGGGTTAAATAACCACAGACAATACATTATGTCAATTACATTTACTGGTGACTAATAAAATTGAATATGGCTAATTAAATGTCTGAATCTTTCAGAATTGTTGGATTTGGCCAATTCATATTGTGAATTCCATCTGAAACAGCGTTGTGAACAGATCATAACCCAAGGAATAACAGTGGAAAACGCAGCAATGCTCTACTCAACAGCTATCTCTTACCAGGCTAAAGTTAGTTCTGCACATTATTTGTTTTTAATGTATAAGATAATAAATAAAATAATACTTGAAACTACAGAGATGGTAGAACTATTCTGAAGTTATCATCGGTTGGTCTCATTTAAAGCAGAGACGTTTGTGGAGATTTAATTCTGTTAAAGTGGTTCATTGGCTACAAAACAAAAACAGCTTTGATTTTGGATTTCAAAATAATTATTTACATAAAACTGTAATCCTGGAATTTAAAATTGTTTGGTAAACATTAAGGTTGAAGGTATCGTAACTAACTCACATAAGGAGAGAAGTTCCAAGAAAGTAATTTCACACAAAAGCTAAAAACTCATCAAAAACTTAACTTTTTGATCAGCATCGTAAGTGTTATTAAATTTACGGAAAGTAAATAAAGAAACGTCTTATAACACTTAAAACATATATTTACACCTATTGGGTCTGATGATGATTGGAGTGCCCAATCGAAATCGATCACCACTTACCACCTTTTTTGTATATTTACCGTCTTGTGAGTAACAGTATAAGCGTAAATATATGTTTTAAGTGTTATAAGACGTTACTTTATTTACTTTCCGTGTATATTAATAGGCAAGCATATTTCTTTAAAAGCTTTTTTCTCAGCTTGTGTGCATCGCAGGGAAAATCTACGCATACTGCTGGAAAGATATTTTCCTCTAGATGTGCAGAATCCCTTTATAAATTAAATTAGGCTCAAAAAAGCACAAAAAATTATTTAAAAATTTTAAATTAATTAACATGGGCCTTATGGGTTGCCTTGCTGGTGACACAATATAAACGAAACATAAACAAAAAATCAAAACAAATGGAATAAATTCCAAACACATGTTTTATTTACAGTGTGTGGTTAAAATAGAGAAGTCTGTACATTTCAAATTTTTAGTTGAGTTTTCGACCACTGGATGACCTCTAGTGCATATTAAATCAAATCACTCTTTTAGTCACCCAGCTCTGTTATTCATTTAGAACTCTTATCTCTATACTAAGGTCATCCGTCAATTAAACACTGAATACACATCCTTTAATTGGCATCTGCAAAAAGTCAATAGCAAGGCAATTCAGTTAGTATGTAGAACAGAAAGATTAAATACATACAACGTGTTGAATGACATTCTGTGTCTGAAGGTTTTCCTTGCACCATAAGAAATGTAATATTTTCTTTAGTACCTATTTTTTTCTTTTCAGGAGCTGGAGGATTTCTGTTTCAAATTCACCCTCAACCACATGACAGCTGTGATAATGTCGCAGGGATTCTCAGAGTTGGATGATGCAATTGCCAAAGACTTCATACGCAAGGCTGCTAAGGCTCAAGCTTTTAAATCATAAGCAACCCAATTTCTCAGTGGTTAGGCTTTTTAAGTGTTATCTAAGATTTTTAGTTACTGAAGTAGACATCCCATCTATATGAACCAGCTGTTGCCAATTCTTTATTAAAAAAGAGCATAGTCAAGTGAGCCAGTCACAGAGTGCACTAGTGTCAAAATTGTATTATCAACCTTATTTTTTGCTGCTGACCAAGTCGATAACAGTTGCTACAGCTGCCATACCATAGCCTATATAAGTCATTCCATTACATATAGTTTAACTTGGTAAAAGAGTTACCTAGTGTATTTGATAGAAATTATTAATTTATATCAGCACAATCTGTCCGTGGCTTACACATCAACAACTTCCATTTTGATTGAAAAACCGATGAAATTTTTTTAACAAGGGGATGATGGGATGTCTAGTTTAATCAATAGTTAGAGGTTTTATTTGTTTTAAATGTTTTATTTTATGGCTCCAAGTGCAAGACTTAATGATGGAATCTCAGTCTGTGATAATTAACTTATTATTTAACTTACATTTCTTACTTGTTTTATCTACACTTTCCACGTATTCCCACACATATTCCTTGCAACTACTAAACTTCTAACCTATAGTTTACATCTCACTGATAAACAATAAAATATTTTGTTCAATTGAAATGAGTGAAATATGCTAGAATGGTCATTTGGGAGTTAATAGACATACAACGAAACAATTTATTGCTTAGGGTGCACTTTCACTTACTGTGCTTCATGATTAGTTTTTGTGTCCAGCATACCACACAGTTCATCTACGCCTTATACCAGCATAGTTCTCCTGACTCCCAAGTTTTAGTCATGGTGTGAATGGAGGTCTGTCGTGCCTGATTGGACAAGTATTGTTTTTAACTTCAATTTTAAGGTTACAGAAGTGAAGTTTTTACTTTGTTGGCTATTTTTTATACAATTCATGATTATGACGTGTCAAAACAGGAAAAACGTGGTTTCAATGGAAAACAATTTTAAGTTTTGAATAGGTTTTCATTTGATGATTTTTAACATAGGTATCATATTTTGAATTTTGTGTTACCCTATTTAGCCGTTCTGCTACCAGAGAATCAAAATCCTACGGAACTTAATTTGTGTTTTTAATTTTTATATAGTTTTTTAATGTGGGCTTTCATATAATCTATATCATTTAAATTGATCTCTAATTAAATTAGGAGTGAGTTGCATATTTCCTAAGCGAAGTGACCATCATAATATAGCATTTACTTTGGATAATAAGACATTCCTGCAATAAAGAGATTACTAAAGTTGAAGAAGTTAGAGTTCTTTGTTCTCTTTTTTTTATTATTACCCTTCCTATTGTTTTATTTCTACACCAAGAAAGCACATAAACTAAGAAATTATCTAACAAAAAACCACTAAGTGGTAACACTTCCCCCGCCAAGTCAGCAACCCAAAAAAGACAATAAATCACCACTTTTCCGCCAAGTAAAACAATGTAATGTATGTAAGTTTGGCAACTTGGCGGCAGACCTTTGCTTGTTTTTTTTCAGTTACGTTGGTGGATAATTTCACAAATCAACTTCTCTAATTAATTAGTCCAACTAAGTATAATAATTTCGAGGTAATCAGTAAATATAAAACCATCACTATTATGATTTTATGAAATGTGACACAAATAAGGTCAAATTTTGTAAAATAAGCTCTCATCTAGCAATGTACTATTGGGAGAGATACTTGCTCAATGAAACTAATTTTATGGTATTTTTTAAAGTGATCAAGCAAAAGTCTGCCGCCAAGTGGCCAAACTTACATACATTACATTGTTTTACTTGGCGGAAAAGTGGTGATTTATTGTCTTTTTTGGGTTGCTGACTTGGCGGGGGAAGTGTTACCACTTAGTGGTTTTTTGTTAGATTGTATTTATTTTTGTAGAAAATTAACAGTTAAAATAAAAATCCTCTTTTCTCTTATATATAGACCAGGGCACAACTACACATAAAATGCATTGGTGTTACATAAGTGTTCCGATAATTAAACCCGTATATCTAAAGACTAGTGTAAATTGAGCCGTTATTAGAGAAGTAAAAATGTAATCAAACAGATTAGGTTTGTTAGAAATAGCATAAGGCAAAACAAATATTGAAAAACTCATTTTTATCCTAAATTTACATATCACTTTTTACATTCACTATTTTGCTTGTTTAACATACGTAGACGGATTTTCCCGATTGTTTTATTTGTTTTAGTGTATCAAAACATAAAACTAACCTTATTTAGTTAAATAAATTTTGGCAATATTATGAAGAAACAATGTTAAAACTAACCTTAGTACTAGTACTAAGTTTAAAGTTCCTAGGTTTCATATGTTTTGATAAGTAGTATTAAACTGTTAAAAATGACGAGCTGCTGTACCAGTGTACCATCGGTACACTGCATTTTTCAATGGAAAGTATCGGGGAATATCACTGCTCTAAGTAATTTTATATAGTAAGTAGCTCAAATCATTCGGTATACCTGAAAAAAATACTTTATAAAAGTTTTAAAATAATTTTTCAACTGATCCTATGAATTTATCTAACATTTTAAATTAATTGAGATTTAATCGCAGCTGATCCTTCTTTTGTTTTGATTTTAATCCCATGTTATTTAAATGGGCCAAAATCGTACTTTGAGGGCTTGCCAAGGGTTTATGGGTCAACGCACCGACTTGTGACCCTCAAAAGGCACATCTACACGCTAAGGGCTTTCAAACAACATAAAAAACATTAAAATTGAGCCAGTGGTTTGGGCTGTAGGTCCGTCAACATTTAAGGAGAAGAAGGAGAACACGGAAAATTTGTGAATTTTCAAACTAGTTTTTCTTGGCTCAAACACAACCTTTTTTTAAATTCTTTTTTTTATTTTGCCAAGAATGATTGCCCCTATCCAGTGGATGAACAATTATTTTAATAGCTTTTGTTTCTTCAGAGCTATAGACGAGTAAAAAAGCCACTTTGTCACGTCATGTATATATACACTGCAGCAGCTGTGTACCGCTGGGGGACTTGGCGGGGCGGAACGCTGCCGCGTTCCTTAATTTGTAATTTAGCATCTACCTTTTTTTATAAAAGTCAATTGTTTCAACATAAAAAAATTATATTTTCATAGGGATTAAGTTATTATTTGGCAATTATTTTATATTTTTTATTTGTTTATGATGGTTTAACTATCTATTTGTGTAGTTTACATGTGGAGTTGTGGATTTTTATGGAAATAGGCTAGCAGGAGTATTTAACTTTTGCCGGAATCCTATTTATCTACCTAGTTCAGTTTATATGTTTGAAAATAAATATGTAAATATAATCTTCATTTTCTTAACATAGCCTATCTAAGTAAAATCTGAGTTTCAACAAAACCCAAAGTAGCATCTAAGGTAAATTCTTACCTTTGAGTCCTTGAAGTGATTGGCTTAGGTATTTGTTTGGTTTATGATACATTATACTTGAATAGATACAACTTCCGTATCGGCGTGGTGGGGCGATCTGACTGTTGGGTAAGAGAGAGAACTGCCAGGTTGGCTACCAGACCAATAAGAGCGAGGAGAGCCTGACGCGGTTTCCATAGCAACAGGCGCTGTTGCCATATCGCACCGCAACTCCACGCCCGCACGCATATGTGCAGTTCCTCCAGTGTTATGATAGCTGACAGTGACTACTTCGAGTAAAACAGTATACTGTCCGCGAGAGTTCAGAAGTCCCCTAAGCTCCAAAACAAACATTTTGATGTTGGAATAGTATATTCATTCCATTTTTATATAAGGCAAAAAGGTAAATACTTTTTGGTGACCGTTGAATTTAAAAGTGATAGTAATATTTATACATGTTTAAAGATTTAAGGCATAGTGATATTACCGCGCAAAAAAAGATAAAATTACAAAATGAAGGTTATTGCTAAAAAACAAAACTGAAAAAAAACAATAAATGAAACCTATTTATCTTTTTTAAGATTTTTCAATAATTTTTCCATTCCAAATATACTAAGAATTTTATTGCTTTACACATATTATTTCAAGAAATTTTGAGTTTATTCGTAACTTTTTTCTTTTAAAAAGGGAAATATATCCTTTGCATGTTTGTCCAACTCAGTGTTTTTACATAGGCAAGCAATGTACAAATCAAAACAGAACTCTGGGGGCGAAGACACGAGACTGCACCGAATCAGATGACACGACCACCCACTCATCAAAACAAAGATGATGATTACAATGATAATGAGTAATGATGTTTACAACAGATGTTTACAGATATATACAGTATATGCTGAGGACGAGGGGGCAGGAACTCTCAGTACACAGTGTAACGTTGCGTGCGTTCGGGTTGTTGACAAGTACCCTTCGCGCATATTCTGTGATGAAGTTAAAGTGGCAGTTCCCGCTCACTGCAGTGGCCGTCCGCGACAACGCGGCAACAGCAGGACACCTCTCCGATTCGGAAGTTGTATCTATTCAACTACAACTTATAGTTTTAGTTAAAACTACAATAGTTTTAAATGTTTCTGTTAGCTAGTACTTTCAAACAACAAACTTATCATGTTATAAAACGTGTCCTGTTCCTAGAGAGATTTTAGGCTGCTTTAATTTACAATTTATTATGTAGGCTGCCTTACTAAAACTTTACATTTCCAGTGCGCAGCAGTTATATATAATTCATAAGTGTGTAACAATGTACTATCAATTATCATTCCTCAATAGGCTTATCATATCATACCACTACTAGTAGTTTTGTTTCACCCAGTAATATTTTTTATGTATGCCCACAAAATAATGAACTTAAGTTTAGCCTATATTATGTTCTACAGCTAGGGTATTTTGGAAACAGTCCAAAAAACTGGTTGTATCAGATGAAATGTTATTTCCTCTATTGATGTTAATTCGGTATTGCAGGTATTGCCTAGGTAAATTGATTCAGTTAAATTGGTTAGTCAGATCATATGTGTTATTTTTTTTCTAATCAACTAACTTAGTGTTCAATCTGTAGCCAAGTGTTTATTCAAAATTAAAGTTTTACTTAAGCTTTTTTCTGAGGATGGTTTCTCCCCAATACCTTTTCAAATGTGAATTTGAGAATTGAAACCAATATGAACCATGAAACCCTAAATACTCGTATATTACTTTTTGTCACCCTATAGGCCTACTGTTTTAACGAACTTACCACGCAAGGATTTAGTCCGTAAAACAGCTATTTGCGCCTGCTTAATCAAATGGGATTTCATTACGTAGGCCTACTACTAACAGACACCAGCTGATTATATTGGTGCAATGAGTGGTCGGTACAATTAGTTGTTTTACCACAATCATAGGCAATTAGGAGGAGAGGTTACAAACTAAAACACAACCTCTCTTACAAGTTATATGAGTAGTGATTTCCTAGTCCAAGTCCATCAATCGGAATTTATAGGTACTGGTAAGGGATTTTTAAATTTTGTTATTGTTATGTTAGTTAGAGTAGTGTGGCGAAAAATATCGTACATCACTCATCCAAAATGTGTTTACAGGACTAGTTTTGTGTCTTAGTGCAACTAGTTAGTTGTCTGATTGTTTACAGCATTAAAAATACTTTTAAAATAAAGTAAATGTAAGACGAAAACGTTGTTTATTTAAAAAAAAAGGCCAATAATTTCTTTTTCCTACAGTTACCTAACAATGTACATGTTCTCTCACTGATTTGAGAAAGCAAAGTGGCCAATTCGCTCACCAGTGAGACAATGTTAACATTGTCTCACTCTAATTACTTTGTCTCACTCCAGATTTGCAACGTGAAGGCACGAAATAGTGAGCGCGTAACATGCAGGCAACGTCGTATGCGCGCGAAATACGTTGGCAGCACTGGCTGTAAATCAGCTGGTCAGCTGTTGTACTGTTGTATTTGTCACTTCACATTAAATGTTATATTAAAAGTTCACTTCTGTGTAAAAATAGGTTATGTTTCTTCATGTTTCTTCACAAATGTTTTTGTTTTATGGTAACTGTAGGAAAAGTATAATGTGCAACTCGAGTTCAAAGTACAATTGCCTCACTCGAGAAACCATTCCTCACTCGCCTCGAGTGAGTCAATTGCTCACTTTTCTCACTAGTTGCACAAATAACTATAATCTGATTAGGATGTTGAAATTAGGAATTAGTTAGTTCATTTTACAAACTTTAAATTTTTTTTTTTTTTCAGTATTTGACAAGACAATACTTAATTAGCTTACTGTATATTTGAATTTAGTAGCCTGGTCTAAATTGATATGCTTGATGTAAATTAAAGAAAAACTAGGCCTGG